AAAATTTGGCTATTCTAGGGGAGGAGAATCTATAGCCTTTTGTGACATCTATTAGAGCCTGAAAATATATATCATGTGACTTTACAAGTTATTTCTGAAATACTTTTCAATTTAAAAAAGTCCTCTGCTTTTGGACCATTCTATGGCCACTCAGCTTGCAATGAATACAAATATAATAGTGTAAAAGACCAATTATTAACTTGATAAGTAACAGATATATAAAAACCCACACCATATATATATATATATCTTTTAAAAAACTTCTTAAAAGATTTAAAAAAATCTTCAAAGGTTAATACAGAAGACTAATCATTAAGTTTAGAATATAGTTACCACAGAAGATAAAGTAGAACAAAAATATACAACTTATAATATATTAAAGTTTTTTATTTTAATTTGTTTTATGATAGCAATGTTCTAAACTTAACAAACTACAGAATAGTTTTAGTGTTGTTCTACATTAACAAGCTGATGATGGTTATAGAACAGTGAAAATAAAGAGTAATTTTGGTTTCCCAAGCTTAGCAATTTTAGTCTTTTTAAATTAAATTATGGTTTCAAATTGTATGCATTGTTACATTTTGTAACAAGGTAAAAATAAATATATAGATAGTAAAGCAAAAATTTGGTTTGCATGTGAAGAAATTGACATTATAAATAATATAATGTTAAGCAGACAGCAAAATAAACTTATTAATAAACTGTTGGTTATTAAAATTATTCTAAAAAATTTTTAACATTCAGATCAGACCTGTTATTATAACAATATAAACTCATTTCAATATCTTTTGCTATAAACTTAAAATTCTTTATTTATATTCAACTTTAAATACTTGACAGATAATATATAGAAATTCAAGAACTAGTGACAACAAGAAAAGCTGAATGATTTATGTAAATTTTTCACATATTCAAAACTTGCATTTGTTATTTGGACACATTTCATATAAATATTCAGTCTCCAATTCAATTTTATTTAACTATCCAAAAANCTTCTTAAAAGATTTAAAAAAATCTTCAAAGGTTAATACAGAAGACTAATCATTAAGTTTAGAATATAGTTACCACAGAAGATAAAGTAGAACAAAAATATACAACTTATAATATATTAAAGTTTATTTTAATTTGTTTTATGATAGCAATGTTCTAAACTTAACAAACTACAGAATAGTTTTAGTGTTGTTCTACATTAACAAGCTGATGATGGTTATAGAACAGTGAAAATAAAGAGTAATTTTGGTTTCCCAAGCTTAGCAATTTTAGTCTTTTTAAATTAAATTATGGTTTCAAATTGTATGCATTGTTACATTTTGTAACAAGGTAAAAATAAATATATAGATAGTAAAGCAAAAATTTGGTTTGCATGTGAAGAAATTGACATTATAAATAATATAATGTTAAGCAGACAGCAAAATAAACTTATTAATAAACTGTTGGTTATTAAAATTATTCTAAAAAATTATTTAAATAGTTGTCAACACTGGGAGAATAAAATAATTACAGAATTAATTATAAAAATTTCTTTTGTTGATATAATGTACAGTAAAAAAATTCTGTATGTACATTAAAAATAGTGCAATATAAACTGATTTAATTAATTACAAATTCATATTCACAGAGAAGCCAAAAATATGAAATTCATATATTAATATTTGCTTAACTGAGTCATGATATTGTTTAGAACTTAGAAGCAGATTGACAAAAGAATCAAATTTACATTATCTAATTTAAAGTTTGCAAACTAAGCATTTTGTTTGTAATTTTTTTTTATTTGACCTGATTCTGGACAATCCTTGAATTAATTTGGCTGGTATTCAATAACTAAACCTGATTACCCAGTAAAAAATGTGTTAATTCGGATGCTGCATTCAGTAGTGAAATATTATTTAGTAGTAGTAGTAAAGGCAACAATCTTGCCTTTGTATTAATGTTTCTTATTTTTAACTTCATAATTTATGATTTTTTTATTGTAAGATGCTTTTATGGATAATTCTAAATAGAGAGTATATAAATAGAAATAAAAGAAAATTATTATTATATAAATATTTTTATTGTTTATACAATAATATGAATAATTGAAAGAAAATTTGGCATAAAATAATTTAAGGAATTTATAATACTAACTAAACCAATTTGATAAACTAATAAATAATTTTAATAAAATGCTAAAATAAATGACACAGCAAACAGCAATGATATATTTTTATCAGTGTACTTGTAAGTAATCATAATTTCCTCTCCTTTATCTCCAATATTTTATATATTTATTTGGATCTAATTCTTATTTTCTTAAATCAATATTTTAAGAACTTATTTTTAGAAAAATAATATAAAACATTTATAAAATTCTTTTAAAAATTTATCACTATTCTCTTTTATTTGTTATATATAATTGACCACAAAAGAATTTTTTGCTTAAGTTAAATATTGATTTTTTTTGGTAATAAGCAAAAAAAATCAATACTTATTTTAAGAGAAAAATCTTTATATAAACTATTAAACTATTTTAAAAATCTAATTTGAAGTTTATATTTATTTTTAAAAAGTAAAACTAAATGAAATGCCAACTTATTAGGCTATTATATGGTTGAATTAATGATTAGAAACTAATTAGATATGTAATAGTCCTATAATTTGGCACTTTTTGTTTTACTAATGAATAGGGTTTAGAGATGTTATATTTTTAAAAAGTACATTTCATATAATATACTGTATCATGAAAAAATGGAGGTTAAAAAAACCAAATTCTTTTAAAACTATCCCATTATTTGTGTGTTAATAGGAAATGGATTATTTAATTGTGTACTTGGCTAGATGTGCTAAGATGTTAGCCTACTGCTGATCTAGATTTAAACCTGATTAAAATTCCTATAAATTTTATCAGGAATAAGGTCAAGTATCATTTCTCATCTCTTGTTCATAGTGATAGATCCCATTAGTGTTTAGATCTACCTGTAACGGATGTAATTGTAGGCAACCTCATAACTTGTGTGTGCTAGTCCTTTTCTCATTTACTAATCACTAATCACATGTGAAAATTTAGTTATATTTTTGCTTTGAATGAATGAGTGAATGAAATAAAATCAATATATTGAATAAAGCCAAGAGAGGACGGTAAAGGATTAGTTGATGAATCATCAGAATGATTCCAACAATTTTATTGATTAACACACTCTTGTATTTTAGCAAATTTTAATGATTTCTACACACCGAAAAAAAAAGAGTACACAAATCTAGAAGTTTGATATATATTTAATAATTTTTAATGAAAGACAAATTTGGATGCATATGAAATTTCTTTTGAATATGAGTTACATCAAATTTTTCCAATTTATGAAAGCACATCTCAAATAGTTGTGATAATGAAAGCAAATTTCCAGAAATTGTGATCTGTCATCTTAAATCTTATTGGTCTTATATAAATAAATTGGAGACTTAATGTAAGCTGTAATATGTAGATCCATGTCATCAAAGAAATAATTGCAGATACAGACAGAAAAAGCTATTTCATTATTACATATGATACGAATAAAAAATTGTTTCCAAAATAAACTGTTTATTATACAGGAAAATTGATTTAATAGCTTAGATTATTGACATTTTGTTAAAAAAATTCATTTGAGTTAAACGAATTACATTTTTCTGATTGGAAGTAATTCCATATGTCGCAGACTAATTTATTGTGGGATTTATTATTGCTCTTTGTAGCACTGATAAAATTTTTATAATAGATTGGGTTTATTGTTGGTTATTTAAGATGTTTTTGATTTCTAGCTAGTTTTTAAACAATTGTTTATGCACATTTGGATAGAACTATATAATTTTTCTTGTGTGTGTGTGTGTCTGTAAATTCTATTCTGTTTATATAAATTCTACACAGATATGCCATTGATATTAATTTAACTACTATACTGTTTGACACGAAGATATTTTACTTCTATAATTATGTTCATCACTTTGGCAAGGATAGTATCTGTAAAAATTTCCAATAGTGTAGAACAGTTGTTCTCAAATATGATTCATTGATGACTGGCGATCTGAACGCATTAGCTAGTGATTTTTACAAAATATAATTTTCTTCTGCTTAGTCAGAGAAAAGAACATTTTCAACATCACTTATCTCTTATGATAGGTTACTAGACAGACCAAATATTTTGGCACACGGTCTGTCATTATCTAAGATGATATTTACAGGATAAAAAGTGGACAAGGACACAGGTAGTCTACTGTCTATGAATTGATTTAAGTGATCTGTGGATTGATAACTGAGAACCACATTTGAATGAAATTAGAACTCTTCTCAAGCACATTGAATAAGTGTTTGAAAATAGAATCTGTCAGTTTCACAGATTATTTATTTCTTTTAGTCTTGTTATGCAGATTTTTCTTTTAAAGTAAGTCACCATCTTTATTAAGTAGAAGGAAAGTATTTTACTTTAAACTTTTTAGTTCTATTTATCATCATCATCCAAGAACTCTTCGTTGGAAATAATAATAAGTATGATAAATCTTGACATTTTAGTGATTTGAATATATGATATATTGGGATTTAAAATTAATATTTAATGACTGATATAGATCTTGATGCCTTCCTTGGGAGACCAATATAAAATTGTTAAACTCCATTAGAAATTTTATTAGTTTGGCCCTGGTGACAAAAATCTTAGTTACTGTTTTCTCAACTAACAACACACGAATAAATTTCAGTTGACTAAACAACATATTAGATTAGTGTTACTCTTTGTGTAACACAGTATATAAAAATGTTCTTATCAAACTTATGAATCAAGAATGTAATTATTGACTGTGTTTAAGTTTTTTACACACCCATTTTGAATTATAATAAAACTAGGGTTTGAAATTATATGTTTAATTTAATTAATTATCAGAAGTAGAGTGATGAAATGATTAAGTTAGCTAAATGATTATCTGGTATTAATAAATTGTGTTTAAAATTAATCAATAACTTCATACATTTTAATTATTAATTATTTTATTAGATCGTGAGGACCAATCCATACTTTGCACGTAAGTTTTACATTAAGTACATAAACAAATAAGTGATGGAGATGGATTTTGTTTTAACGAAAATATTGCAAATTAAATTTTTAGTGGTGAATCCGGTGCGGGTAAAACTGAAAATACGAAAAAAGTGATTCAATATTTAGCATATGTGGCTTCCTCCAAACCTCGTACTTCTGTAGCAGGTATACATTCGGTAAGTTTGTTTATTTTTTAAAATATTTAGTCTTCATAAAATACAGATTGTGTATAAAATATATAAATTGCTCAGAAATTACCCAAAATATATAAACGTAATTTTTTAAGTACAAAATATAGATAATAACAATAAAAAATTGCTATAAATTCATTATCAAAGCTACGACGACAACTAATCTTTTAATATACATCCCGAGCAGACTAAAATATTGCTTGACTACTTTATTTAATGATGATTAAATTATATATTTAATTCATGATCTAAAATATTTTAGATTAAAAGTTAAATGATGAAATGGTTATTAATAGATAACTTAAGCTGTAAATTTAATGACTTAAAAAATATAAATTATTCGTTCTCTCTTCAGTACTTAAATAGTAATTAATTTCAATAGTTCTTTCTACAATAATCTTGGTTGCATTAATCAATATATTTTTAACAGTGAATGATGATTAATGTGTTATTTAAATATCATTTACTGTTATAAATGCATTGATTAATTCAGCTGAGTAATCACAGTGGCTAGTTCATTCTTGTAATTTTTTTGTAATGTGTATTCATGCTCTTACATTTATTGTTCTTAAAATTTTCTTTATTGTTGTTGTTATTTATTTCTTATTAGAGTATGCTCATATTTTTTCCTTTTATTTTTATATCTATAAAACTTTGTGCATGTTAATTAGTTGTGTAGCTAATGTCTTTTATTTTCCTTATCTGTCTTTGCTCTCATCAAGTATCAACCTCCTCCTGTCAACATTATTGTGAGTATTATAAAATTCTTATACTTCACTATAATAATCTGTGTTTTTGTATATTTGTAATACTGTAAACTTCTTTTGTTTTCAAAACATTTAAATTGTTAAAATATATTTTTAAAAATTACTCAAAATTTATTATAATTTTCAGGGAGAATTAGAACAACAACTTTTACAAGCAAATCCCATTCTTGAAGCTTTTGGGAATGCAAAAACAGTGAAAAATGATAACTCTTCCAGATTTGTAAGTTTTTTTTTTCATTTTAATTGATTAAAAATGAATCTTTTAATTAAAAAACAATTCATATTCTAATTTCAGGGTAAATTTATTCGAATAAATTTCGATGCTTCGGGCTTCATTGCTGGTGCCAATATTGAAACTTGTATCTTTTTTTATTAAACTTTCTTTACATTTAAAGAAGGTTATGTCAATGTTATGTTATGATAGATTACAATGATGTGGGTGAAGTTGAGTTTCTTATTTTCTTTACGGATGGAAACAACAAAAATAATTGTTTTTCAGACCTCTTTATGACTTTGAACTGTTTTAATTCATGGAATTATCAAATCATTTTCTTATTAAAATCATTTACAGATTTTAAATTTTGCATGCAAATTTTTCAGTTGTGATTTATGATTAACAAAACCATCCTTAAAAAAATAATTTTTACTAAAACTAGAGTTTGAAATTATTTGAATTTGAAACTATTGCAGTCAAAAGTACAGAAGTAAGTTTTTATATATTTGTAGTTAACAAAAATTTATATATATAAAATAAAATTTTGTTATTGAATTATCAAGAATATTTTAAGTAACAAATATTTATTAATCCTACATTTTTGACGTTTATATATTTTACAATTATTATACGTTATAAAAATCAGTTAATAAACGTGAACATTTTGAAAATATTTTCTTTTTTCAAAATAAAAATCTTTCTCTACAAAACTATTATTTTACATATTATACTTAAACAATAATACAGTTGAAAATTATATAATATTTAATCAAAGTAGTCTTAATACATATCTATGAATATTCTCTCTGTAAGATGTAATAATTTTGTGCCAGATGGTACTTTATTGTATGAGCAGTAGGGGATAAATGTTACTAGCATGTGCACTGCTGGAGTTGAGGTTATCCCCAGCAGAGAAGAGTGAATGAGAAAAAAAAAATATATACTGTTCAGTGATTTTATTAGTGTTATCTTTAATCTTAGCATCCGGTGTCAGATTGAAGAATCACCATAAAAATATAATGAAAGTTTTATATTACAAATTAAATTATGATTTCAGTTATTTAATTACCTTAATTTTTATGAGTTCAACTTTGTACACTGATACTGTTGTTATAGTTTCTTATATTTTTTTAGAAAGAATAAATCAACATAATTTAGTATTATTGAATGAATTAATACCAAAATGTAGATCCTAATATAAACTACATGTTAATTTAAAGAAGGAAATCAAATTAAAGTTAGTTTTAAAATATAAATTTTCTTCTACAAGTACATATCTTCTAATATCAGGACTTATTATACTGTATTAAATAAAATAATATACAGGTATATTAAATAAAAAAAAAATTGTTTTCTGTGAAACTCTGTAGCATTATCTGTAAAGCCAGTATAATAAGTCCTGAAATTAGAAGATATGTACTTGTAGAAGAAAATTTATATTTTAGTAAGTCAAGGACATTGAGGCATTTTAATTAAAGTTACTTTTATTCACACATTGTAATTTAGATCTTGATGGCAGTCAAAGCAATTTATCACTATAGGAGAGAGAGAGAGACCAAGAAATGATATGATCTTACTGGAAAATTGGTTAAGAGAATATAAGAGCTGGATGTAGGTAACACTAAAAAACAGAACGTCTATGAATGTGTTCTGTGAGCATCTTTGATATTTGAAGTAATGTAACCTGTTGAATTTGTGGTATTTTCACTTTCCATTAACAAAATGCTAGTGTCTGAAAAAATCACCAGTTACTTGAATCCTTTTATTACTGTAAAGAAGTTACATTTCACTAGTTAGTGATAATCATAATAGCATTCCTGAAAACAGTGCCTGATTGCCCTCTAGACAGGTAAAGCACATGCCTAGAGGCTCCATGTCTCAGACAACTCAAAATTGGAAAAAATAGAGCAATTTTACAATTGCAGTTGTATATCATAATTTACAAATAATTCTTATTAGTTTAATATCATAAAATTATGTAGAGGGGCCCTAATCTTTAGTTCCTAAAGGCTTAATCTGCTAGTGCTTAGAAACAGAATTTAAAAAAAAGTTGCTCCATATGGCAAAGAAATTGCATTTGAAGTGTCTAGACTTATGGAAATAGTGACAAATCAGAGGTTTGTTTTATAGGAAGGGACCAAAAATATAGTTACATATTGGAGATGGACACAAATCAGAGTTGGTCACAAAATAGAGGTCTGTACAATCTAATTCTACTGGAAAATTTTGGGGAATTTTTCTGCTGGTCACAAATGAGAAGAAGTCACAAAGGGAAGGTTTACTGTACTTGTTTTCCACTGCTGATAGCATATTTACTTTATTTCAAGTTAATTCAATTGAAAAATAATAATAATGTGTTAATTTTTTTCACTGACTTTGTTAAATTTCTAAATTATAAATATTTACATATAACTATCCTTAAGATTTCATAAACTGACTTAATTACAGGTGTCAAAAAACTGTTTTTATTAACAGTTTTTTCTGAATTTGTTAAATTTTAAAACAAATTGTAACCAATTATTTATGACTATACTGGTTTTGAGAAATGATGCAAATAGTTCCACAGCAGTTTTAAAATCATATATCTTAAATGAGATAGTTATTAAAAAATTGTAAAAATAAAATTTTGTTAAATCTTTAACTTTAATCAGATCTTTTAGAGAAGTCACGTGCCATTAGACAAGCAGCTGACGAACGTTGCTTTCATATATTTTATCAGCTTCTGAATGGCACAACTCCAGAACAAAAAAGTAAGATTGAAATTTTTATTACAATTTATAAAAATTTGAATATAATTTATTTTTAATTTTGTAATTACTAAGTAAATATATTTATTCTGTAGAAGAATATCTTTTGGAAGACATAAAAAATTATACTTTCCTTACCTGTGGTAATGTACCGGTTACGGGAGTGGACGATGGTGTAGAATTTAGGAATACAACTAAAGCAATGAGCATTATGGGTTTAAGTAACGACGATCTAAGTGGTAAAATTATTTCTTTAAAGAATTAATGAAAAAAGATAAAATAAATTTTATTAAATACATGCATTTATCTTTATAGCCATTTTTCGTATAGTATCAGCTGTTCTGTTATTTGGAAATATGAAATTTAGACAAGAGAGAAATTCGGATCAGGCAACTTTACCAGATAACACAGTTGCCCAGAAAATCAGCCATTTATTAGGTCTTAATGTCACCGAAATCACAAAAGCATTCTTGAGGCCTCGACTAAAAGTTGGTAGAGATCACGTCACTAAAGCTCAAACCAAAGAACAAGTAAGTTTTTAACTGTATTTTTAAAAATATCATCCATGATTCTAAGTTTATATTGCAGAAGGTCAAAATGGTTAACTTGTTTGAATACATTATATTAAATTTCATATAATTGAGTATGATCACATTAAAAATAGTATGATATCCAAATACATTTAATTTTTATTTAAATCTATTTGGATACTAATTTGCCTATATAGTTAATAAGCTTCATTTTTAATATACAAAAGTGGATAGAATGTTGCAAGTTTATAAAACGTAGATTTTCAGACATGATGTGACTAGAAATTTAATTTTTCAGTCATGACATGCTCTAACATGACTTGATAAAGTAATTTCACAATTACAGAATCGTTTTCTGTTGATACTAGGCCTATTTCTTCTTATACTTTTGCATTATCATCCATCCATTCTATGTTAAATATTAAACTTGTTTTCTCTGCAATAATTTTGTCAGTAAAGCTTGTGAACAATCATAACAGTTGAGGGAAGTGCATGCTTTTCTAAATGAATGAATATTTTATCTGTGCTGATTTCAATGTTTCTTATTTTTTTTAAAGTGTTTCAAGATATTTGCTTTAATATCATTGTTCAAAATTGATTAATCTTTTCACTAATTAAACTAATTTCCTCAAAATATTCAATGCAGAATGCTTTTATGTTTTCCATTTTTATTTTATTCAAAGCAAGTACTGGGCCTAATATATATTTCAACAACTTTCTCAGTAAAATAAGCTGTAATTAAAGTTATCAAACTTTATTTTTAATTATTCCAAGTCTCTCCTAACAAATCTTTACACACACTGTAAATCATCATGTAATATTTTTAATTCTTGTGTTTATTTAATTAACACAAAAAAGTTGAATTGAAAATATACCAAAAAAACAATATATGAGATTAGTTCTAGTAGGTTTCGGAAAAGTCACAACAATGAAATATGATCACAAAAATAAGATTTATTAAATAAAAATGTAAAAATTTCATTGACTATAAATTAAGTATAGCCACAATAATCAAATTTTGATGTTTATAAACCGCGATATCTCCAAAAGTTACAGTCACAGACTAAAACCTTATATGCCACTAGATTCGTCAGACGATTCTGCACTAGAATATGTATAGACATTCTAGATATATGTATAAATGTTCAGTCTAGACGCGAGTATACAAGTTGCTATTGGAAAATGATGTATAGCCACAATTATCAGATTTTGACTATATAATACTATTCAAAATACAGTGAATATTTGACTATTCAAAATACAGTGGATGATCAGTTAACAAACAGTTTGGACTATGAACAAATCAGAAAGATGTGAATGATTTTTATGTTCAGACAGAGAACACTTCACAGAACAAACACAAGAAGAAGCAATGTAAAATAATGAATACCGATTTGTCTTCCCTTGTCATCAGGTAACAATTGAAACTTTTCAGAGCATGGGAGATGTTGACATCAACACTCAACAGTATATACTGATTGGATAGTTAGTATTCCTCCGAACTTTGAAACTCTCCCTTGTAATTGCAGCCTTTTATTTTTCTGACAAACAATTTTTTTTATAGTATTCCCAAGACTGTTGGGTAGGCACTCATTAAGTTTTGAATCGATTTTTATTTTTGAAAGGTGAGAGTATAATGGTAATAGTAGAGAGTGGGTAGAAGATATCTGATGTTGCTGGGCAGTATGGCTTGAACAGGTCTACAGTAAGCTGCAGTTCAATCTTATCTAAGAAAGATATAGTATAATCAAGAAGACTCAAGCAGCTAAAGGAGTAACAAAAATCACATCTGAAAAATAAAGAACATTTTAGAGCTCATAATGGAACCTGAAACGGATCTGATGACAGAAGAACACCAAGAACTCTTGAATGAATGAAGAACACCAAGAAACTCAGCAAGATGTTTTCTTCTGAAAAAGAGGATTAATGCCTATATCTGCTATTAAACATCTTTTGAAGAAGTGGGAGGATGTCAGAACGATGGTGTTAGAATGGCATCCAAACCAGATTGAGGTTAATAGACTTAGGGATTTCTAAAATTAATTACTTCTGAAAAATCCTAAAGAAGAGAGAAAAGCAATCGACATTAGACATTCTTTAACCCCCACAAACAGAAAAAACATGACTAATAAAAATGCAAGACTGTGTATATATGTATTTTTATTATTACATATAAATAAATGTAGTAAGAAAGTATATACAGGTAACCCCCATATAACACGGCACTTCTATAGCACGGATTCACTTTAACACGGTTCGAGAATTGGTACCATCCCCCGTAAAACACGGTACTTTTATAGCACGGATTCACTCTGATGTGGTTCAAGAAATGGGTAAAACCCTCGTACAACATGAAATATAATAAATTTTTACATACTTAAGTACTAATAGTTCACGAAAATAATAATTTTCGTGAACTATTAGTACTTCAGTGTGTAAATTTTCTTTTCTCGTCTCTATACATATGGTCCTTCGCGAAAATTGTTTCAATTTTGCCATATCTCGACGCTTCTGCTTCTGGTATTGCCAGATGTTTTTCCCTTATGCCATAAGTGCTTAGCACCATATAAGGAAATTTATAAAGATCTTTTAACTAGAAGCAAGCAATCTAAAATTACATACACTTTTTGCAAAAGGTAAAGCATGAATCTGAAAATAATGCAGAAAAATGCTCAGAGGATAACGATAACTTGCCAAAAATAAAACGCTCTCGGTTAATAGTGCTTTTAGTGATGACAAAGAAAACATTGTTTAATTTATATTAATATGTATCACTTAAGAAAATTTTAATAAAGATATTTAACTTAATCATGAAAATATAGTAGCATGTTTTTTAATTTTTGGAACCTAACCCTCCTTTTTGTACTAGTTCTTTGATTCGCATAACACGGCAATTTTTTGGAACGTAACTACCGTGTTATACGGGGGTTACCTGTATATTATATTTTTTGGAGTTTCCAGAACAAATTAATCAAATTCCCATAAAAACTTATGGTAAATTGATATCAGTTAACGAACAATTCGGATAGTGAACAAAGTCTTGGAATAGATTATGTTCATTAACTGGTCACCCACTGTACAATTACACAAAACACCATTGTATTCTTTCAGTTCTTAGTCAAGTAGAATTCAGTATTGATTTTCTAAAATGGGATCTTCTTTTTGTACAAATCATAATCAGTATTACATATGTGACAAAATCATAAAATATAATTAAGCAAATTAGAGACAAATACTAATATATATATTACAGTAATGATTAGAATAAAAATTTTATTGATCACTATATTTTTTTAATATTATACTATGGTATAAACCACACTTTCAGATTTTAATAATTCTAATAAGAATGATTATTTTGGTGGAAATCCATTGTTATAAGACATTTACAATTATATGTAAAATATTTAAGTAAATAAATTTTGAAATGTGAGTAAACTAGAAACAGTGATATGATTCTGTTGATTAATTACAATACAGTAGTATCTCAGGATATGAAATTAATGTTTCAAAACTGAGATTGTATCATGAAAATGTCGTAAGGTGAATCATTTTCCCCCATATGATTACATGTAAAACCAAATAATCTGTTCCAACACGAAAAAACACACTCAAATTAAAGCTAAGTAGTACATTGAAAAAAAAAATCTAGTAAGGAAAACACTGAAAAATGCATTTTGTAGTTGTAAATGTATAAATAACCATAATAGAATAATAATTGATTTAAAAAAAATGTAGTTTTATTTGCACATTACCTTTGAGGATAGATGACGGTGGAGGTGTAAACTGGTGGCGGAGGAGAGAGAAAAGGGAAATGATACTAAAACTTAACTTACATAACATAATGTAACAATAACTTAAAAATAACTTAACAGTAATTTTTTTTAATCTTTCCTGTTTTATATTTTTTTAAAAATTTTTTATTCACTGCTTTTTGATTTCTTTCCTTCACTTCCACCAGCACTTTCACTGGATAGAGGTCGCTTGGTAAAATATCTATCCAAAGAGGTTTGGCTTTGCCTACTTTTTAAAATGTTTCTAAAATGACTTAGGCAAATGTCATTACTCTGAGCAGAAATACAGTCAGTGTGAACCTTTTCGGGATGTTTCTTTTCAATAAAATCAGTCACTTAGTCACTTTGTGATAATACCTTAAGATTTCCTTTATCGAGCGAGATCCTTCCACAACGAAGCAAACATGCGGACTGAGAACAATGAACAGAAGTGAATAAAAAATGGCGCTGCAAACTAATGTAACGTCGTATGGTGAGTTTTTGTTCGTACCATGGAGCAAAAATATGTTTGAATTTCATGTCGTATCCTGAAAATTTTGTATGCTGGAGCATTTGTATCCTGAGGTACTACTGTATAGTAAAATTGCCAAATATTACAACTATGCCAAATTGCCAAATATTACATAATAGATAGAAATTATTGTGTTTAGAATAATCAAAGAGTGACTTTACAAAGCAGCTAGACTAGCAAAAACAAACACTTAAATTCTGTATATTTTCATTCATGTAATATGTCGTAAGTAATATTATTTCTCAATAAAATTACTCATCCTATTCAGTCATTATCACAATGGATAACAAGCCTGTTTGCATTCTCAAAAAATTTTAGTTCCTATAGCAGCAGCTGCCCAGCAATGATAACTTTCATTTCTTCCTTGGTAGTGAAGTGGTAGCCATATAACCATTCGAATGGCCAAGCAGTCAAAGTGGCAGCTTAGGGACCCAGGATTAAATCTGGACGGGTTGAAAAAGGAATTTTTTTGGTGGTGGTCCTTCTGGATATGACGAGCTCTATCCTTCCCCACCTGGCCACCCCATTGTGGGACTGGCCGAATCCATAATGGGCTTGCTAAAAGAGGCCTTCTTAGTGCTCACAGGCTGGAAAGAGTTTAAAAAAAAATGGAAGCCATATTTAATGTCAAATGTGAGAACACACAAAAGTCAGGAGGAGCCAAATCCAGGTTGTATTGTGGATAATAAAGTGCTTCCCATCAAAACATTGGTAACAAATCTGTAGACCAATATTCTATATACAGATTGACATTGTCATGGACAGGACATAACACTGTCCTCATACACCTTGATGATCTGATGATGATTTTCATCAGCTGGACTTTATTAGCCAAGAAAAAATATTAAATATCTGCTGCTTGAACTAATTTGTGATAACATTGTTATCGTTTGGAAATGCTATACCACAACTATTTCACAGTTATGCATCATTCTAACTGTAAAGTTTGCTAATTTCCTCCATTACTACCTACATTGGAGTTACAGTTGATAGTGCAATTTGATTATTAAACTGTGGATCTTATAAAGTTACTTTCTGATCATTCCATGTACAATTTTTACTTAATTTAAATTATAATATGCAGTTGAAATGACAATTTAATATGAGAGATTTTAAACAGTTAAAAAAAACATAAACCGTAAGTAGTGCAATTGACTTAATAGTTGTGTATTTAACCTTTTAATTTATTACAACAATTAACCACTAATGTAAATTAGTTTGTTAGAGAATTCATTAACAAGTGTATCAAGAAATATATTTTGATATGTGTATTTTTGAAGAATCGTTTGATATTTTGTCTAGTTCTGATTTTGGTTGAAGCATTTATATACAAGGTATTGATGTGTGCAAGGAGGTTTGTATAAACTATATATATATATACTAGCTGTTACCCGCGACTTCGTCAGCGGAGGTTTTGCAAGCAAACCCCATTTACATCCAATATTTCAATAACCATAGTAATTGTTATATAACACCTACCGCTGAAGAGAATTGCCGAAAATCAAACGAACTATTTTCAATTTGATCAATTTTCTGAAACGTTTACAATCGTTNGCTGTGGGCGATGATGAATCAGTGAATGAATGAGTGAGTCAGTCAGGACAAGCAATTTTATATATTTAGATATATGTTTTCATATTAAGATGGAGAATGAATAGAAAATTTTACTTTTAAAAATTCAAAAGGCTGAAAATAAAAATTCTGCACATAAAATTTTAATTTTTTCTTAAAGAAATTACTGCGTATGTTCTCAATATTCTTAAGTCCAAAATCAAAACTAAAAGAGATAACTTGTACTAAAATGAAAACCATGCACACTTTTTCAGCAAAAGGTGTTTACAGAACAAATGTTTTTGGTTTATTTTAAACCGAAATCATTTAGTCCATAAACCCCTTTTGCTGGAAAAGTGTGTGGGGTTTTCATTTCATTATATGTCCTGATTTTAGAATTTCAATTATTAGTGCTGTGAGGACCACCCATGAGGGTTATTCATGGGCCCAATAGTGTGGAAGTTTGCAGTCAAATCTCTCATCATCAGAGAGGATCTTTCATTCAGGATGATGAGAATAATGAGAAGTCATATGTGGGTGGAACGGCCACTGAAGCAAGGATCGCTGTTTACAATTTAAACCCCTTTTTTTTAAGTAGAAGGAAGTGTACAAGATTGACACCTTCAGTTCTTTTGGTTAAGTCTGATGAAAAGCCATTGTTTGCAATAGTTTCCAAAAGTATGTGATCTTGGATTGACATCAGCAAGGCTTCCCTGGATGATTGTCAATCTTGGGGCTACTTCTAACCAAAGATGTTCTGTTGGAAGTATTCAGAAGTGATGCCGCGCCAGATACATGGGATCCATCTCCAAAGGATAATCTATAAGTGACTTAAGGATCAGAGGAACTTTGCCTATGAACAGAATGCTGTTGGAGAGAGTGGTAAAACACCAATTCCAGTGATGGATGATTCTTTGAGGAAGAAAGAATGTGAAACTAACTATACAGCTGGATGCTCATGGAAAGACATGGATCTTCAAGAGAGAGTTGAATTTCTGGAAGAATACTGTACTTTTTAGAAGGAAACAAGGAAAGAGAGGCCTCGTCCCTGAGACACAAGTTTTTAAAGGGTTCTCTCTCTTGATCAGACATTTTCAGTTGGTTTTGGCCTCTTCCTGTTACTTTCCAATTGGTCATTTTCCTATTCCAGGGATATGCTTGTGATCGAATTTGGGATCATAAACATCAACATCAACCTTTTTGTTGATACAAAGTGCCAATCCGAACTGAAATGTTTGTTGAATTGAGGACACTCGACCATAATTCATTGGGAAATTTTTTTCTTTTCCTTGCTAATGGTTTTCAGCTGCAGCTAAAAGTTTCCAGCTGTCTTCTCATGATTTTTATACCATAAAACTTTCCCCTTTGTTTTCCTACAACTCTCTGGAGATATGGGAGGCCAAAATTATTTTTTCAACACTATCTGCCTTCTCTTTTTTTCCTATACAAAACAATGTTTTCACAATGGTTTATTTGCCAAAAATATTTTCAATTAAACATTTTTTTTCATAAAATAAATTTTGATGAGGGTTCAGACCCAATCTGGAGTCTCACAGTGCAAACATAGCACAGTGGTGCCTCATATAATGGACGCTGTGAATAACAAACTTTCCATTTGGCAGTTACGTGAGGCAAACAAGTTGCAAATGATGGTTCCACTCTTTTGCCATTGCCAATGACAATCTACTATTTTTAGAATATATTAGCATTATTAGAATATCTGAAGTACAGAGCTCCCGTTAGGATTCGGCTTGCTCCCTTGTTTATTATGTACATCACCTCAGTACAAGGTATTTACATTTATTCAAGTATTTTACAAAAACGTGGCTTCTAAAAAAACAGAAAGGTGATTTCAATTGAAACGAAGCACGAAATCATCAGAAGGAGTGAAAGTTGATAAAAACTTCCTTGTCAAATGGGGAGAGGTTCAGGAGTTTACCAACGCTCATTATCCAAACAGAGCTGAGGTCAACAGGATCAATGATCTCTATGATGACACTCTTGCCCGTCATTTCCGACAGGTGTTGAAGAACAGAGAGAAACATACCACCTTGGACATGTTTTTCAAGAAGCCAGCTGTCAAGAAACAAAGGATGGAACAAGAGGAGTTGACCCTGCAAGTCCCGGTAGCCTCTCCTGAATCTGACTCCGATTAAAAAACAATAAAAAGAGACCTGCTGCAATGTGTAAAAAGTCTTTATCTGTATGAATGTGTGAAGAAAGTGTTCCTCCCCATCCTCCCACATCTGACTATCCGGCATAATTGGTGACTGCTCCATTTTCATTTTTTTTATGGTACAGCATGATTATTTTATGCTGCGGAACGAATTATGTTTTAACATATATTTCTATGGGAAAATGCGTTTCATATAACGGACTTTTCACTTAGCGGATGTGCACCTGGAACGGATTAAGTATGTTATACGAGGCACCACTGCATATAAATTAACTTATAATTTAATCGATTGTAATTATTATAACTATCAATATATACTAATCAAAAGTTTATGAACTATACGTGTAGTTTTTATCAATTTTAATTGATTTTTACTTATAAAAAATGATAATTAAATACAAATTTTCTTTGGAAAAAGTTGTAATATTGCATTAAATAATTATCTGTACATTTGTTTAATATGTAAATTTGCATTTAAAGGTAGAATTTGCAGTTGAAGCAATTTCTAAGGCATGCTACGAGAGACTTTTTAAGTGGTTGGTTCATCGCATTAACCGTTCATTAGATCGTACTAAAAGACAAGGAGCTTCATTTATTGGTATTTTGGATATTGCTGGCTTTGAAATATTTGAGGTAAGAATGTTTTTATAAAAATATCTATTGCTTAATTTTAATATTTATAATAATTTTTCTGCTTATTTCTTTCCATTTTAGTTGAATTCATTTGAACAGTTATGCATAAATTATACAAATGAAAAATTACAACAACTGTTTAACCATACAATGTTCATTTTGGAACAAGAGGAATATCAGAGAGAAGGAATAGATTGGAGATTTATTGATTTTGGTCTTGATCTTCAACCTACAATAGACCTTATTGAAAAGGTTTGTTCTTAGATTTGTTTGTCATTTGTAATTGTTGAAAAATATGTAAATTAATGTATTTACATGTTCACAGCCTATGGGTATTTTGGCTCTCCTTGATGAAGAATGTTGGTTTCCGAAAGCGACAGATAAAACTTTTGTAGATAAATTAGACAGTACTCACACTATCCATCCAAAATTTAAAAAATCTGATTTTAGAGGCTCTGCAGATTTTAGCATCATTCATTATGCTGGAAAGGTAAAGATTATTCATTTATATTTAAAAAATTTTTATTTTCTAAACAAATAATTAAATTTTTATGATTATAATTTTTTTTAAAGGTTGATTATTTAGCCAATCAGTGGTTAATGAAAAATATGGATCCTTTAAATGAAAATGTTGTTTCATTACTTCAATGTGCCCAAGATCCATTTGTAGCACATATTTGGAAAGATGGTATGTAAATAGATTATTGATATTAGCAATTTTCTTTAATTAAAGGCAGCCAGTGTAGCCACTTGTGTGTGTGCGCATGTATAACACAATTATGTGTGCACATTTAATTGTATAAATAAATATAAATTTGCAACATATTACAAAAGTAAATGTAATACCATCACAATTAACAGAAAAAGGTTAAAATGTGTTTAAAAAATATTTTTTTTATTCACTATTCATATTGAATTTTATAGTAAGACTAAGTGATCACATACATTAATCATTAGAATCACCCTGCATATTCAAGAATTTACCTAACAATTCACCATCTGTGAAAACACAACTTTATTTATTTTACAAACAATTTGAAAAGTTTTACAACTGTTGATTTCCATCCCCTAACTACAACCACTTGCATTGTACAATAAAACAACTGAGAAAAATTAAAATAAGCAAAACCTTGCATAAATAATATCCTTGCATAAATAAATAAATATTATTACAAAATGAAATTATCTTCATATTCCTGAGTTTATAAATTTCTGTTGTTGTGCATTCTGTATCTGTATGGCTATTTTGAAATCTTGCTTTTTCAGTTTTGTTGAAATAACCTTTCACTAAAAACAAGTCATTCTACTTTTTGACATTTCCTTAGCAACATTGATATTAATGTATACCCTGTGAAGACAGTTTTGCATTTCACATTTTGTATTAATAATAGTTTTAGTTCTAGTATAATTTCTTACAGTAAAATCTTGCTTAGTTGAACTGCATTAACTCAAATCTACCAATAGATCTGGGCGCAGTATGTGAAGTTTTCCATATAATATGGTTTCATTAAACCAAAATTATCAGTATTTTTAACTCAAATCCATTTTCAGTTATATTTCATTTGAATATAGAGAAGTAAATGAACACAGTGGCCCATGCTAAACATGACATCACACCATTACAACCTTGCACTAACATTCTTTCACTAATACAATGTTATTGATATTCTGATTTGTATACAAGGGATACCTTGACAACATTCTTGAAAGCACTGTAAACTATACAGTTTTGTAATCATACTGTGAAGATACTCATTAGAAACAGCTTGATAACAAAGAAATTTATGGACCACAGAAAATTTTGAGAAAATCTGGTATTAAACTCATTAACTCTAAGGGATATAAAACCCCAACTTAAACTTCAACTTAACAAGGTTTTACTCTATTTATAACAAAATCATATTAAGTATTGTAACTTAATTAAATCAATTATTATTTGATGGTATTTATTTATTTCATTAATCTCTGATTAAATGTATAAATGTCATCAATAATCATTTATTATCAATAGTGTTTTGAATTTTTGAAAATATTCAACTTATATTTTGCATGTATAATTTACTATGTCATTTGTTATGTAAACATACTTAATATTTTCTTTAATGAATTTTTTTCTATGAATATTATTCTATTTATTTAAATATTAATTTATTTAAACACTCAGTTCTAGTTAGGACATGAAATTTTAAATTACAATTTTAAAAATATTTAGAATGAAAATTGTGAAAATGATTGTGAAATGAATTATGAAGTAAATTAATAAATATGATATTCTCTTCCATGAGATGTATGCATAATTTTTTGACAAATAAACCAAAAATAAATCTATAAGCATAAAATAGAAATATTACATTTCTAATAAAAATCTAATTGCTGGATTTGTAGGGCTGAATTTGCAAAGGCTTCACATTTTTTACATGTATCATTATTTTATGGAGGGAAAGGGTTTATTATATGTTATAGCTTAGGACCACAATAAGTCGGAGTCCATTCGTATCGATCTGTCTTTACAATTTGAATGACAGATTTAGTATGATTAATGTGATAACCTGTGATATTTTATTATTTCATTGCTGCTTTTTAATGAACTAGTGAGCTAGATGACTAAGATGGCAAATGAATTTGTCCATAGCTCTAAAGAACTCAAATTACAATCATGGAATTTTTATTAGAAAAGCCTGGCATTGATTGCCAAATGATATTCCTTGTTGTGACCAATTTCACGATTACATTTATCCATAATACATAAAATTGAGATTGTGCGACCAATAGTTTATGTTGATGTTGCACATAAACAGATTAATCTTAATAAACCAATAATTATAACTGGTGTTTAGTAGATTAAAATAGTTCAAAATTTTGGAATGAAAGTTGTTGATTTGAACAAATTTTTAAAAATTTTGTTTAGTTATATGTATAAACTCAAACTCCCATATAGCAAATTGACAATGGGAAAAGCAGAGAATTCACAACATAGCCAATTTATTAAATAGGAAATATGTCAATATAAGAAGTGAACATGTATACCAGAGGTGGCCAACCTGCGGCTCTTTGAAGGATTATTTGTGGCTCTCGATAAATGTACCCGAGTTTCCTTTTCATTTTTGTGTTATTATATTTAAAAAATTTTTATTTTCTAAACAAATAATTAAATTTTTATGATTATAATTTTTTTTAAAGGTTGATTATTTAGCCAATCAGTGGTTAATGAAAAATATGGATCCTTTAAATGAAAATGTTGTTTCATTACTTCAATGTGCCCAAGATCCATTTGTAGCACATATTTGGAAAGATGGTATGTAAATAGATTATTGATATTAGCAATTTTCTTNTATCGTTCCGTATGTGTTTCAAAATGTCTTTTAAATTACTAACAACAAATATGAAAGACTAAGTGCAATGTTGTAACAAATTTCATTTCCGTCCAAGTTAAGAATGATATGACTCATCAAAAACTGCACGAACGAACATAAACAGTGGCGTAATCGTCCATTATCGACTGACTCCAGACCGATTTTGAATTCGTAAACTGTCATTGCAATGGACAGTTGACATTATGCTCTGGAGGAAACAATTTGTATCACTCTTGCTATGGATATAATTTGTAATCTGGAATTTTTTGCATACCTTTTTAATACGTATTTAATTGCGGCTTGCGAAAAATTTCAAATTTTGAAAAATGGCTCAGACTATCAAGGAGCTTGGCCACCCGGATATATACTATAATAATGATTTATTCTTTTTGAAAATATTTTTATTCATACTAACAAAATAGTGTTATGTATGCTTTTCCATGAAATAGAACAAATGGAAAGTATATTTTTACTGAAATTAAGAAAAATGTGATTGAAATGAGTACTCTTACATATTTATGTAGTTAAAGTGTCATTAATATAACTTACATTTTACCAAAAGTTATGTTACACTAAGCCAAATTATTGCCATAATTAATCAGGCTGTTATTATACTATAATTAATAATTAGAAACTAAGTAATTTGATACTACAGGTAGATGTTAAGTTATCTAAATTAATAATTATAATAATTTATTAAATAGTTTAGAACATTCTGGGAGAAAAAGAACTAGCTAGAGCAGGACTTGAACCTGCAACTTCTGCTTACCATATGGAACACTTGTCAGTTATGCTGTCTGGACCCCAAGCAAGTCTTTGCTTCCAGATGTATTTAAATTTAGATATATCCATTCACGGTTACTTACAGTACCAGCTGGGAGTGACTCCTATGCCTCCAGCCAGCAATAATGGTATATAGTTATTTTACACTCAATGAATGCCTTATTTAAAACAACCAAAAATTATCCTTGTAATATTTTGTCACTGACAAAATCCATTTTTTATAAAGATGTGCTAGACATTTTGATAACTAAGTTGAATTACTTAATGCACCTTTAACAGTGCAATTTTTAAAAATTTCACAGTTAGAGATGCATTAACTAAATTTGGTCATTTCTTACAGATTTGAACGTATCAAAACATTCATAATTTGACACTATCTTTGGATACATGCATTTTGACCTCATTATGAGTACAGTATAGTATGAAATTTACTTTGCCAAAATAGTCATGTGGCTGATGTTAGCTGCAGAAACGAGTTGGTATTTTAACATTTAGCAAACATAAAAAATAAGCTGTTTTTTTATTTATTTCACTTACAGAAGTTTATTTTTAACATGAAAGCTAGATTGTGTGCATGTGTGTTGGAGATTTGTATAAAGTACTTTTTATATTAAGGGAAAAATGAAGAAGTTTGAGCTACAAAGAAGTTTTTCCCCTACATTTAAGCTGTATTTTGTCTAAATAGTTATTTTTATAACAAGAAATTAAATATTCAGATATTTAATTATTTTTTTTTTAGCCGAAATTGTTGGTATTGGTGCGGCAACCATGAGTGATACGCAGTTCGGCGCAAGAACCAGAAAGGGAATGTTCCGTACCGTTAGTCAACTATATAAAGATCAGTTGGCCAAACTAATGGTTACCCTTCGTAATACCAATCCCAACTTTGTTCGTTGTATTATTCCTAACCACGAGAAAAAGGCATTTATTTTTTTGTTTTTATATTACTTAAATATATCTAATAATCAAGTGGGTATTTATCTTATTCTAAGTGTTTCTTTATAGGCAGGTAAAATTGATGCACCCTTGGTCCTGGATCAGTTACGTTGCAATGGTGTATTAGAAGGCATACGAATTTGTCGGCAAGGCTTTCCCAATCGTATTCCATTTCAGGAGTTCCGTCAGAGGTATTATGAAAATCGGTTTTCGATTAATACATTACTTATTTTGCAGTTTTCTTATTTAAAAATTAGTCATTTTGTCAAAGTTACCATTTTATTCACAGAAACAAATGCAAAATATAAAAAACATCAAAATAATGAGAAAGCTACAATCTTATATTTAAAACCATAGATTTTTGTAATTGTGTGTGATTTTTTTTTACTAGTTGTTAAAATATTATATATTTAAAAATATTATAATATAATATTGAAAGTGGAGGGCAAATAATATTAGTAAGAGCACTGAAATACTTTCAAAATATTAACAGATTATTTGGTTTGCTGTTAGAAGCAATAAAGTAAATTACCAGTATTCTGCTGAATGAACACTAAATGACAATGACATCACTTAGCCAGTTTTATCCAGTTACATATCATTATTTTGATTGTGTTCTTGGTAAATTAATAAAACAATTATTATTTCCGAATTGGAAGTAACCTAACTTAAAATTAAAATGGGTTATGGTGTTTTTGGTGATGAATTGGTTTCAAGGCAGTGATGTCATAGATCTGTTTGCTAAAATAAATATTTATAGTCATTTAAAAAAAATTTGTAGTTTTCTGCAAATTTCTTTATAAAATACAATGGTACAGGTTTATAGGAAAATATATAAATAAAAATAAAGATAAATTTCCCAAACAAAAGTTGAGAGAAAAGAAGACTAAATTTGATGATACTGCAGTTTCAAACATGAATGTATTAACTTATGAAGACCTCACACACACAACTGTGCCACAAACAAGCTGGCTAACAAAATCTTCCTTCTATATATATAACCCATTGAACGGGTATTCGTCTGTCCGCATAACGGTATTCCAAAAATGGGCACTAGAGGCGCCCTAGCGAAGATTTTAAATTAACAATAAATTATTTTTATTTGTAGTAGGAATTTATTATTGATATAAATTTATTATTTATACCATGGAATGGTATAAATAATTATTGTATGCCTTGATTAACCTTGCACTGCACGTTTACAATATTCCATGTGCGTTGACTCATGGGAACTTTGTTGAAAAAATGGCGGATTCATTTAAAATCGAGGTTTACAAGCGAAGGTAAATAAAAAATTAAACTATTTTAAAGTATTTGTAGAATGTTTAATAGGTAGAAATATAGATCCGTATGACGCGATTGGGACAGTAAGATTTACCCTCCGAATGAGCACAGAGGTGGCGACCTCCACCTCTGTGCGAATAAGAAATGTCTAATGAACCATACCCCTATGTGCGACCCTTCCCGAGATATAGCCCTCTGAAAATTATTCCATGGGTCATGTGACCTCCTGTTTGCCATAATTTACCCCCCGAATAAGCAGGTCGACAAACCCCCGAGTATGCGCGAGCGCCTTAATTTTTTTTCGCGCGGTAGACTCCCTTTTGACCACGGTGTCACATGGCCGGAAATGACGTAGGCGAATTTTCAGGGGCTTATATCTCGCGAAGGGTTGCACATAGGGGTATGGTTCCTTTGACTTTATTGTTTGCATGGGGGCTACAGTTTGGGAGGGTCGCCATCCCTTCATTTGGATGGTAAATCTTACCATTGGGACTTTAACGGAGCTGTAGAGCATATTGATAGGAACAAAAAAGTCAAAGGAACCGTGCCTCATGGAAATTTGTAAAGAACACCATCTAGGGGCATCCCAGGCTACTAGTTTATTTATAAAATATTGAATTTTTATAGTTATCCATAACATGTTAGGTTGGTACAACTATATTTGCTTTTCTGCTCAGAATATTGATATCGTTATTTGTGAATATAGCAATGTATTGATATTGAAGAGATGAACAATATTTTGAAGTATTTTGATGCTTTTGTCATCTCAGCTATGAACTAGAAGGGACCCAAAATAACTTTTATTAAGTACTTTCTGGAACATAATATAAAGATTATCCTGGAACAAATTACTACTTGAAAACATAATTTGGACAGGAATCTAAACTTAATTATTATTGCTATATACAAATGCTGCTGTACTTGCTTTTTTCAAAGAGTAACAAAAATGTTCTTGTTGAGTCAGATACTGAAAAAGAAGGGAGAGACTATTTTAGGAAAGAGCTTGGAATGAAATAGATTGTAACAAAAATTATTAAAAAAATAAAGTAATGGTATTGAGGAAGAGATATTCTTAAGTATTTCTGTAGATTAAGATGCTTTATTCATTATAAAAGTGGCAATGTTTTTGATAGAATTTATCCCAATTTATACAGAAATATTTTTTAGTCACTACAAAAGATAAAAGTTTGGAAGTAAACACTCAAATTTTTACTTTATTGAAACAAAACACAATAACCTGTTCAAAACAACTGTTCAAAAACCTAAACTGGTCAAAATATTGTTGGTATAACTATATTTTGAACAGAATATAAAGAAATATTTATGAAACAAAAAAACTGTTAAATTATATGAATATAATTTTTTTACAGATATGAATTACTAACACCAAATGCAATTCCAAAAGGTTTTATGGATGGAAAGTTGGCATGTGAGAAAATGGTAAATACTAAAGCTACCTTTCTTATTAAAAATAATTTATATGAAACTGACTGGCTGTTCTGGAACCTCAAAAAACTGTAATAAAGCAAAAATCATTACTTTGATAATTCTAGTTTTATTCAGAATTTTTAAAATCTTATATTGTGTATTGGAATACTAATCAAATATTTGGTGATATTTATAATAATATCTTATTTCTGATATTCTTAAAATATGAAAAAGATTTTACATTATTGTTTAAATTGTAATTTTTTAAGATAATTTTGCACTTATTTCTTTTTGTATAGATTAATGCATTGGATTTGGATCCAAATCTTTATAGAGTCGGTCAAAGTAAAATATTTTTCCGTGCCGGCATTTTGGCACAGTTAGAAGAAGAGAGAGATGTAAAAATATCGGATCTGATTGTACAGTTTCAGTCGTACTGTAGAGGTGTTCTTGCACGAAGGTAAATAAACAAAATAAAATGCTTTTAGAAATATATTTGCTGTTAATTGTTGATGCAGTTAAATGCAATTACAATTAACAGCAGTATTAAAAATAGTAATCATTTTATGCAAGTTAATTTACGTGCATTTACAATACTGCAAACTAATATAATATATATATGTAAATGGCAGGATGGCTGAGGCAGTTTAGATGTCGGCTGTCATTGGTTACCAGAGATTGAGTCTGGACAAATGACTCCCCATGAATTTTATGTGTGTAGTCTGTCTTCAATATTTTTGATTTTACTTCCATTAATTTTATTAAAGAGACCCCAAAAAATTATTTATTTATTTACTTACAATTTTATTCATTTTAGAGACTAGGTATACATTTCAAATAATTGTCCAGTTAATAATTATAAATTTAGAAACATTATTTATACATTGTTAATTATTTATAAATAACTTAGTACATTTTTGCTGGCGAGTCATTAAGACAGGTATGGCATATTAGGACGATGGGGGACAGCTGGCTTCAATATGTTAAGCATTGTCTCTCACCACTTCTTTGTGGCCTATTGTATCCTGTGGGAACTTCAGTTCTCACATGGTGCAGCAGTTACCACAGGGTGGAGAGAGTATAAATTGAGTATTATCTTTAATAAAAATATTTGTCATCAAAATCCTATTTAAATATATTAGTATTATTTTTAGCATCTGTTATGTCTTCCTTAAAATTTCATTTATTTAACAGAAACTATCAAAAACGCTTACAACAATTGAACGCCATTCGAATCTTACAACGTAATTGTGCCGCTTATCTTAAGTTACGTAATTGGTCTTGGTGGAGACTATACACTAAAGTAAGTTTATTATTAAAAATTAGATAATTTTTATCAGTTGATAAAATGAGAAATTAATTTTCTTATTACACCTTTAAAAGGTAAAACCATTACTTCAAGTAACTAAACAAGAAGAAAAGTTAAATGAAAAAGAGGATGAGCTGCGACAGGTGAAAGAGAAGATGGATAAAGCACAGCAAGAAGTTGAAGAATTAGACAAGAAATTACAACAGGTTAATATTTTTTTTAAATATATTTATTTATTTAAAATTTATGTTCAAGACGCTAAATTGTTTTATGTGATGTAGTTTGTGAAATTGTTTTTAAAATTCAGTACAGTAGAAGATCTATATTTATTACCTTATTTGTGCATTTTCACAAATTTCACAGTTGAGTATTTGCAACCATTTTTATATATTTGCAGAAGGATTAAAAATAATAACAAAACCGTAGATAAATCATGAAATGATTTTTTATGTTTTTATCCTAAACATATTTTTACTGCAAATTATTATGTTGATTGTTACGTGGCATAGCATATTATCTCATATGTTTCTTATGTTAACAAAAATATGTACATGGATAATAAATGCTGTTTTATATTGTTAATGTTATGTTTTACAAGCATATTTCAGTTATGTTCTATTTTATTTTCATAAATTAATGCTGTCATCTAAATAGAGAGACTCTAGTAACAAAATATCAAAAAGACTAAAAAAGTGATGTGTCATAATTACAAAAGTAAAGTACTAGATCATTTTCAGGGAGGAAAATCAGCAGCTATGGTTGCTTATGCTTTTCTTGCAAATGAGTATACCATAAAATACATTAAGAAAAAAGATACAGATTAGAAACACAGTAACAAAAGTTTTAGATACAAAAACATGTTTTTATTTTTTAATCATACAATTTTATTAATATCTCATTCTCTCTCGTGCCCGTATTTTTGGCAGTTTTTTTTTTTTTTTTAATGTAACTTCTGCAAATATGGAACTTCTACTGTATTAGTAAATCAAAATAAAGCATAAAGTATATCATTAAATAAGAAAGTTCTAAAACAAAAAATATGAACAAAATCGTGTAAGAATTTCAATTATTAAATCTTTAGGTAAGGAAACACACCAATAATAAAAATATAAAAAGTGTTTACTGTCACATTTTGTAGTAAATAAATTATGAAATATAAATGTTCAGAATAAAAACTTATATTTCTACTCTTATTTAAATGTAATAATTAATAATAGAAAAACAGACTTCATATATTTTATAAATTTAATATTCCAGTAAAATTATATGATGCTATATTAGTAGTTTTCAGACTGTGGTGTGTGAAATTGCGAGGGACGTGATGAAACATTGTTTATTTTTGATTACAGTTCCCACACCTACTTGATATCTAGCCACTAGTTTAAATATTCATTTAAATTAAAATTACATACTGTTACGTAACCTTTTATCTACTTAAAAATACTTATTCAACTTCTGTAGTTATTTTATTAAAGTTACTACAATGTAAATTACCATTGTCCACTCAATCAGCAGATTAAGATTTTGTGCATGATACAATCAAATGTGGATTGTTTATTCTTTTAAAGATGATTTAAGTTATTTTATGATTGATCAATTAGTATTGAACATTTAATAATCTGTGGAGTTAGCAATAAAATTTACTTTTAGGTTTATAATAAACTGAGATATTTAAAAGTAGTATATTAAGTTTTGGTGTTTATCATAGATAAATATTAAAATTATTGTTTATCATACATTAATAACAGTTAAATTTTCTATTACAAAGATGTTTATTATAATAAATAATACATTTTCAGTCAGAAATTACAATAAATAAATCATTAAATATTAAATTAATATTAAAATAAAAATTATTGAGTTTCTTACCGTGAAAATTATTAGTCATCTCAAAAGTATTGGTTTTCTTAACATGTAATTGCAAAATTGATTTTGGTTTCCATTGTCTTAACAAAATAAAGATAAATACAAATTTGACAGAAATATAGAAATCAGTTAACTATTATTTGTAAATGCCTTTTGGAATAGCTTGAATCCATCTAAATTCTACATCTAAACAGAATAGTTTGACTTTAAACAAAACAGTTTTGTTTAAAATCAGACAGACAGATTCCAAAATTCCAAAAAGAGTTAAATTTAAAACTCAGATAAACTGTTCTATTTAGGTACAATATCTGATTTTGGAACTACACTGCCTGCTCTAAAAACATTTATAAATTAACTTCTTTACTTGTGCTAAATTTGTTTATTTCTAAGTTCAAGGATTGATAATATATGGATTTGCTTCAGTGAAGTAAAACAAAAATTTAATTGTATGTTAGTATATTTTTAAAGCACAGATGTTTTCAACTTGTTTGTTAGATTATCTGAAGAAGAATAAGATTAAGAACAATTGGTAATTCTCAGTTTACTGTATTTATAACTGTTAATAGTTTAATAATAACTTATTGTTGATTTAAAAATAAAACTTCTGTTTATAATTACTAGGTTATTAATTACAACAGCTGTAATAAGGAACTATTAATTAACAGCAGTTTTTTAAAATTCTCTATTAATGTAATTTAAATTATGTAAACAAGTAGATATAATTTCTGTTATATTTATTTGTTTACGTAATTTCAAAGATAAGATTAATCCAATTACAAGATCATTTCATGATATAAATAAATCTAAATAAGGTGATATATATATGCTCTAATTATTTTGTATGACAATGGATATGAAACATTGATATATTTTGAGATTGTTTACAGCAGTGTGGGAATATCCATTGTTAAAAATTAGTCTGTGTATTATATCTGTTATTAAATGTATTGATTTTTCTCAAATCTTAAAAGTACAAAAAATATCTAAATTATTTTTAGAGATAGTTCAACCCTTAACAATTTGGGGAATAGATCCAATTTTCTTTTTGTTTTCGCTAACTGAATCCTTGTTTTGGATAGTTTTACTATTCTGGATTTTGGTTTCGACCAGAAATTTTCAAGGCTGCTTTTAAAATATTGCGTAAATGTTTTTTTCAGCTGTTACTGTTACATAACACTTTGTCAGTCTCTTATAAAAATTGTTAAAATGCGAATTCCATAACATTAGTAGAATTTTATCTTATATAAATATATAAAGTTTATTTTTGTTGTTTTAAAAATTGCTTATCTTCTTATTCTAATTATGTTTTTCAGCAGTGAGTTCTGGCAATCTTTAATTATTACCAAATACATTTTGTAATGAATACTTAATACATAAATTTTATAGGTAATGTTCCTTTTAATTATTTTTAATACTCTTTTTTTTAAAAACTTTAAAACCTGTTAATCTTTTATCATTAAAACAATCATATCTTGTGTTTTAATATCCATTTATTACCTAATTAACATATTGATCTAAAGTTGGATGGCCAGATGACTATGATGATAAATGCATCACTGTGCCAGTCTTCAGACTCAAGATTGAGTCAGGCAAAGAGTGTCAGGATTTTATGGACAGTCTGTCTTAAATTTGCTGGTTTCCATCCCTCAACGCTAAGCCAACTATTTTGTGGTTCTTACCAAACCTACGAAAGACCCATAAAAGAGGCTTTCTCAATGCCTGTGAGCAGAGTTAAAAATTTAAGGTTCAAGTGTTATTGAAATGATTATATCAACTTTGTTTGATAAAATCTCTTATATTTGATAAAATAATGTGTGTCCGTATTCAGAAAATGAAATATATAGGGGAAAAACTACTAAAAAAATTAAATTTTAAAATAGAAGAACAAAAAGATAGCTAAAAGAGAGATTTCTGTACACTTTACATATCTTGTACTTTAAATAAATTTAATACATAGAAATTCAGAAAGATATCTACCCTTTGGTTTTGTGATGTGTTGACACTATTTGATTTCCTTGGAACCATAAAGAATGGTATTTGCAAGTCAGATGTTGAAAGTGATACTGAAATTGTTTTGCCAGTCTTGCAAACTGTGAAATCTGCAAATTTAAGGCAGTTGTCAGAAAAAAGAATTGTAAACAACTCCGATAGAAAATACATTCCTGGTGAGAATTATATTGGAGGCCATCATTTGTTATCAAAATTAGCTGGGAAAGTTGACGTATAGGTGTCAGGAATGCATCATTAATGCCAACATATGACGATCATGTGACTCCTTTCCCACGAAAAATGAATAAAAGCTCGCGCTCCCGGAACTCAGGGCACATCTGCATTGTTCTTGGTACTTGTGTTCATCGAGAAGACACCGAAGCCTCCACCTCTTCCATACAGACGATGTTCGCCAAAAAATCCCTAAAGTCCCTAATACCTCCATTATTCTGAGAGGTATTTAGGGACTTTAGAACTACAGGTAACCCCCGTATAACACGGCACTTCTATAGCACGGATTCGCTCTAACACGGTTCGAGAATTGGTACCATCCCCCGTGTAACACGGTACTTTTATAGCACGGATTCACTCTGGAGCAGAGCCGGCCCTACCATAGGGTGAACAGAGCAGCCGCTCCAGGCGCTAAGTTTTAGGTGGCGCCTCAGTGTTAAAGAAACGTAAAGGGTATAAATTAGGGGTCACCAAGGGGGCGCCATAATAGGATCTCGCTCCATCCTAAAACTTGCCTCGGGCCGGCACTGGGTTCGAGAATTGGGTAAAACCCTCGTACAACAGGAAATGTAATAAATTTTTACATACTTAACTAATAATAGTTCACGAAAATTATTATTTTCGTGAACTATTAGTACTTAAGTATGTAAATTTTCTCTTCTCACCTTCTGTCGATACACGTGGTCCTTCTCGAAACTTGTTTCAATGTTGCCAGATCGCGACGCTTCTGCTTCTGAGTATGCCGAATGTTTTTCCCTTATTCCATACTTGCTTTATTCTTCATAAGTGCTTAGCACCATATAAGGAAATTTATAAAGACCTTTTAACTAAAAGCGAGCAATCTAAAATTACATACATTTTGCAAAAGGTAAAGCATGGATCTGAAGATAATGCAGAAAAATGCTCAGAGGATAAGGATAACTTGCCAAAAAGAAAACGCTCTCGGTTAATTAATAGTGTTTTTAGTGATGACGAAGAAAATATTGTTTAATTTATATTAATATGTATCACTTTAAAAAATTTTAATGAAGATATTTATCTTAATTATGAAAATATTCTAGCATGTTTTTTAATTTTTGGAACCTAACCCTCCTTTTTGTATTAGTTCTTTGTTTCGTATAACACGGATTCGCATAACACGGCAATTTTTTGGAACGTAACTACCGTGTTATACGGGGGTTACCTGTAGTATAAGCTTTCTCTCTTGCTAGTAGGTCAGTGACAGGAGATTAGTCGCCATTTTATGTAAATAGAATTAGAATAACTGCATTTAACCTTAGTAGTTTTATTATCGCCTCTTGTAACCTAGCTTAGTTATTCAATAAATGTTTGTTTATTTTGTTAAACCTGTCTATCATTGTTCTAAGGACGCCTGCCAGCTTACCGGCGCACTCCCCGCTCACTTTTTGCCCTCCTAGCCATCTGACGACTCCAAGACCAGGTTTTACCAGCCTGTGCAGTGTAAGTGTCAGGAGGGATTAACCCCTGGCCCTCTGCTTGTCTCACAAAACTCTTGGTTATTTTTGTAAGTAGTCACCCGTAACTTTCTGCCATACATTGTCATCTGGACAATGACGTACTGTTGGCATAACTTAGGCTTTGCAACTACTTGGAAAGGCAACGTTTTTAAAACACCAATCATCAGTTCTGGGTAAATTGTATTGTTTTGGCATTCTTGTGAGATCAAACATGAGATCTTTCATACTCACTCTGTAGATAATAAAAATGCTCAAATATAATGTAATTATAAAAGAAAATATAAGTATCATTATAAATTTAAATAATGGTATGAAAATAAACTAAACTTGGTTTGAATTATTACAAGAAATAACAAAATAAAAGAAGGTGCTTAATTTAATATAAAAGTTCACAACTTTGTAATGTAACAAACATCATCGAAATGATAGCAAACTTGTGGGCAATGGTAAAAAAGCTGCTGAGGCCAGTAATATTGGTTGCTTAATAAATGAATATTAAAATAATACAAGGGATAAAATGATTTTAATTGTTAAAATCTATTAAAACTTTTTTAAAGTTTTAAGAAATATTTTAATAAAGAATTAAATAATGCCAAGAGGAAACTTACTTGTAAAATTTGTAAGGTAAAACAATTTAGTATTACATAAAAGTCATTTCAAAAATCTTGTTTGGGAGCTGCACATTAACCAGGTGGAGCTGTGGAATATTTAATGAGACTATTTGTCAAGACACACCTTGGATCTTGTCAAAGTTGTACAATTTATACACTTTGTAAATTAGACTTGTCCTTGCTGCTGCACATTGTAGTAGCCCACTCTAATGTATTCATTATAGAATATAATTATTTACTGTATTATAGGGAAATTTTTAAAACAAAAAAATTAATTGCAATTTTTAATATCTACATATAATAAAATTTATACTGTACTAGTATTACATATATGTTCCAGGATGTACTGCTAACAATTAAATATTGTAAAAGACCAAAGAGGAACTATAAAATTATAATAGCCAATAATGGATTTTTCTGGAATTTTAACAACAGTAAACAAAAGTTCTGCTTAAAACTCAAATCTTGAGTAGAATCTAAACTATTTAAAGGGAGGATTTGGTCAAAGAAGACAAAATAACTGTCTGAGAAAACAAAAGTCTGATTCTGTTGTAATTGTATGAGTGAATTGAATTTATTTCAAATGAGATACTTTGTGTAGATTATCCATAAATGAAGATAGAACAAAAATTAAGTGAATTAATAAGTTAATATATATATATAAGGGATATCAGAAAGTTTGTTACATTGAACAGAAAAAAAGAAAATTATGAGCAATGGGTTATATCATAAAATTTCCCAATTCTTTCACAATTTGCATGTTTGAAAAAATCTTTGCGATATAGATTCCTTTCCTCTTCACAATTCACATCCATGCAATTCTCTGCTTGGATGTTCTGTTCTAGCTGTGCAACAAACATAAAGATAATTTTTTCAACTGTGTGATAGCTGTGGATAAATGCTGGGTCTACATTTGGAAATTTTGTGCTGGCAGTGAAAATGCATCGATTTGTTTCCATCAAAGAAAGTTGAGAATAACCTTCATTTGGGAAGATCGTGTGCTATCTTTCGGGACTGCATTACTTATCAAAAGGACAACCCACTGGAGACTATTATTGCAATCTTTTGGTGAAGTTACATAGCTGGACAAAATGGAAAACACATGGAATGCTTAACTAAGGTATCTGGCTCATTTGTGATAATTTACTCACACATACAGTACTTATTTTTGACACAGTTGTCATCAAGTGTGGATATCAAATTCTTTCATACCTGTCCTATTTGGGCAAGATTGGATGAATCTTGCCCAAACAGAAGTGACTTCTTCCTCTTCTGTTACACAAAGACCTCACTTTCTGGGTGTCAATTTAACAATGACAAGAAGGTGCTTTTAATGGTGGAGGAATGGCTTTCTGAGCAGCCAGAGAGGTTCTATAATGACAGTTTGCACCAAATGAACTGTATATGGGAGAAATGTGACTATATAGAGAAGGAATAATCCACCCAGCAAGTTTCATCAAAATAAGTTGATTTCTTCTGTCCATTACAACAGACTTTTTGATACCCTCTTAAAGTTACATTTTTTGTAACATTATTTTTTGTTCCAGGTTAAGAAGTAGCATACTTCATAATCTAATTTACAATTATTTCTTCTTTTTGGAGTTAAGAATAACTTTCATTTAGTTTGTTAATCTTACAAGAGTGTTTAAAAGCAATTCTGAGTTGACTAAAGAATTAGAACTGAAAACGTTATAGAAAAATACTTAAACAGTATCTGAATTTATTAGTATTATCATTATATAACTAAATTATGCTGAATCTTTGTTGCCAATATTTTTTGTGATTACAAAATTAGAATAGCAATAATTCTGTAAATTTAATCTTACATATGTGCAAAGCTTAGTTTGCATTGTTGACTGATACAAAATATTTGATTGAAAACAGACATCTTACAGAGAAGTGTAACTTATAAGTGTGTAGACTAAAAGACCATAGTAACATCTTCCATTTTTTATATACATATACATGCAAAAAGAAATTGAACAAGCAGATTTTACGAGGGCTGTTCGGAAAGTTCGCGGCCTCAAATAGAACAACAAACAAAATAATGTTAAAACTTTTTTTATTTTTCAATGTAGTCTCCTTTGTTAGCAATGCACTTATTCCAGCGATGTTCTAGCTTTTTTATGCCATTACAATAGGTCGATTTGTCAAGGTGTGCAAAATACTCGTTTACTTCAGAGATGACTTTGTCATTTGAGTGGAATCTCTTTCCAACCAAGAATTATTTTAAATTTGGAAAAAGGTTGAAGTCACTGGGAGCCAAATCAGGTGAGTACGGTGAATGTGGAACTAATTGGAAGCTAAGTTCGTTTATTTTTTGTTCAGTGATTCTGGCATTATCGTGGTGAAACAGAACCTTCTTCTTCAAGTGTGGCCTCATCGATTTCTTTCTTCAGTTTTTCCAAAAGTATACAGTAATAGACAGCATTGATGGTCTTTCCTCTTTCTAGGTAGTCAATAAACATGATTCCTTTAGCATCCCCAAAAAACCGAGGCCATCACTTTCCCCGCTGATGGAACTGTTTTTGCCTTCTTTGGTGGTGGCGAACTGGGGTGTTTCCATTGCTTCGACTGTTCTTTTGTTTCAGGAGTGTAGTAATGGATCCACGTTTCGTCAGTAATCACAAACCGACGCAAGAAATCCCGTGTGTGTTTCTTGTAGAAGTCCAAACACTTCTTTGACATCAAAGTGCGAACACATCTTTGCTCAGCGGTCAGCAGATGCGGCACCCAACTTGCTGAGACCTTCGTCATACCCAAATTTTCGGTTAGATGTGGTGCACTCGGTCAACAGAGATGCCTGTTGTCTCAGCTATCTCACGCGTTTTCAAACAGCAATCTGCTAACTCCAAATCGTAAGCTTTGTCAATATTTTTTTCAGTGACAGCAGTTGACGGCCGTCCGCTGCGAGGGTCATGTTTCACACTCTCTCTGCCAGATTTAAAAAGGGCTGTCCATTTTTTCACAGTGGTTTACGAAGGAGCAGACTCTCCCAAAACTTCATCCATGTCAGCTTTGATTTGAGATGCAGTCAACCCTTTTTTTGTCAGGTATTTTATGACCGCACGAGTCTCCGTCTTCTCCATTTTTGACAAAGCATGTGCACATTTGCCACGACAGCTTAGCAGATAAGCTGTCGTGGCAAAACTTTACGACAAATCAAGCGGAAATTGGTATCGTATCTTTAGCAAGGATGGCTGAATTATTCCTGCCAAAAATTAAATTGATTGCAGCGCCGCATATAGGCAAGGCCGCGAACTTTTCGAACAGCCCTCGTATGTTGCACGCAAGTTGTTTATTCAAAGAAAAATAATAGATTAAATTATAATATATAATTCATATTTATTGGCTTGGTAGTCCTTTTAGGTTTTTGGCCTCTAACACTATCTTATACCATTTCTTTTCATTCTTTACTGTATCTGTTTAGTTTCCAATGTCTAATTCACTTAGATTTTTCTTGTATTGTCCCTATATATATATCTGTGGTGTCTTCTATTAGGTAAGATTATTTTTATTTTATTTTTTGAAAGAAAAGTTTTTGATTTCTTATGTAGAATAAAGTATTATTATAAATTATTTTAATTAAGTTAAAATTGTTTTTTTTAGACTGTAGAAGAGAAAAATACATTAGCGGAACAGTTGCAGGCAGAAACAGAACTGTGTGCAGAAGCCGAAGAAATGCGACTACGACTTCAAACCAGGAAGCAAGAACTGGAGGAAATTCTTCATGATTTAGAAGCGAGAATTGAAGAAGAAGAAGAAAGAAATCAAACTCTGACAGCTGAGAAAAAGAAACTTCAATTAAATATTCAAGATTTAGAAGAACAGTCAGTTAAATTAGTTAATATTAAATTATAAGGTATTAAGTAATATAAATTATCTTTAATGATTTGTTTATTTTCTAAATCAAGATTGGAAGAAGAGGAAGCTGCGCGACAAAAGCTTCAATTAGAGAAGGTGACTCTCGACTCGAAAATCAAAAAATTAGAAGGCGAATTTGCATTTTTAGAAGATAACAGTCAAAAGGTTTGTTTGTTTAAATTTAAATGTTAAATAAAAAATACAAACTATAACCTGAATTCATTAAACAGACAAAAGCCTTAAAAATAATAAAATAAATAAATGTCAATTTAGTTCATTTAAATATTAATTATAATTAAAATATATAATAATTTTAACTGATTGGAATAAAATGGAAATTTCCATTAAATAATTTTAAAATTTAATTATACTTACATAGCACCAATGTTTATTATTTTAGAATTAAAAGGAATATCAAAAATAGCAGTCATTTATTATTTTTAATGCCTAATAGTTCACAGTGGCCAAGTGGATAAAACAATCAAACACCGACCAAAGTTGGTTGCAGGTTTGCACATCACTGACAGGCTGGTCGTGTGCAGTTTTTCAGGTCTTCATGTTTCTAACACCAAAATAGGGCCAGTTTCCTGTAGAAGGTTTTCTTGGCAGCATCCCCTTTGTGCCGTCTTATTCTATCCAATTTAATCCTAATAGTCAATGGCCAGAATGCCAAGGCAGTTACAGCATTGGCCTACCACTCTGGGGGATCAAATTCAGGCAGTTAAAAAACCCTGAAAATTTTTTACAAATGGTTTATCCTGATATGTCCAGTCCTGTCCCTCGCTGCTCTGTTGTGGACCTGGTTCAAACCCTTAATGGATGGAAACAGTTCCTGTTATTGTCTGCAGGACAGAGAAAATTAAAAATGAAAAGGAAAAAATAGTTTTCCTGACAGTTTTTCTTATTTCTTTTTATTATTATTATTATATTTTTTCTAAAATTTTATCCTTTTCTGGTTCATATTTCCAATATTAAATTGTAAGGTATGTTGTACATTTTTTAATCATCAATAAATTTTCTATTAAATATTAAACAATTATAATTATGGAATTAATGATTGTTGTTTAAATTTTCTGATTTTATATTTCTTTTATTATAAATGATTAGTGTTACTAAAAATAAACTTTTCCTTTTTTTTTATTCTTATGAATTTCGACATCATTTGGTAGGTTGCTATCACTTCTTTGTATTTACCTAAACTGTTTTAAGGCACACTCATGTTATTTATAATCAAATCTATTAATACTTGATGATATTTTATATCATGAAAATTTAATTTTCATTAAATTTATCCCTAGATACATAAGAATGTTTTAAGTTGTATCATTGCGCATATAATTCTTTTGTTTTGGTGCAATATATGTCACTACATAAACATCGACTAGTTCAGAAAAGACTTAGTAGACTTTCTATCTAGAGATTGGTAGTTTCTATATTTTTGAGAGATGGCTCAAATGTATTAATGTATTGTATGCTTGACAATTGTTGTTTGCATCTAACTTTTTACTAAGTTTATTGTCAAATCATAGAGTAAATAATAAAGTTTATAAAACATTAAATCTATTATTATCATTTCTATGCTATTTTTTAAATTGCAGACCTATAAATTTTCATTGTCATCCGTCTCTCTGCCATTTCTTACTCTTGAGAATGGCATTATATACACTGCTGGCCATTAAAATTGCAACACCAAGAAGGAAAGCAAATAAAAAAAAGATATTTATTGTACATAAACAGTATGGCATAAAGACAAAATGATTAAATTTGCAAGCAGTTTGGGGATTTACAGGGGCGCGAAATTAGTAGACACAGTTGCCACCTCCGGCAGCTAAAATGGCCTTATCCGTTTAAGCATGGAGTCGAACTGGGCTTGGATGACAGAAACGGGCAACTCATTCCATGCTGCTTCAAGTCTATGCCATATTTCATCAACTGTATTAGCAGGAGAGGGGTGGCGGGCCAGTCTCTCAGCAACCCATGACTAGATGTTTTCAATTTGTGAAAGATCTGGAGACCATGCAGGCCAGGGCAACAATTGAATATCCTCTGTATCAAGGAAGGTCAGAATATGACATGCAACATGAGGTCTTGCATTATCTTGTTGGAAGATGGCATTTTGCAGGCCTCGAAGATAGGGCACAACCACTGGATGTAAGATGTCAGAAATATACCGATCTGCGTTCAAATTACCATCAATCCGAACTAGAGATTTGTGTGTTGTGTACCCAATGGCTGCCCATATCATCACACCAGGTGCAGGGCCCCTAAGCCAATATCAAATTCAAGCACGTGACGAGTGGTCTGCTCAGAGCCTTCAGACACATATATGGCCATTGGAATGCTGCATGCAGAACTGGGACTTGTCTGAAAAGATGACATTGTGCCACTCCTATATCCAGCTTTGTCGTTGGGTGCACCAGAGTTGCCGTCTCTCTCTATGCTGCATTGTCAAGGGAAGCTAAAGTAATGGTCACCATGCTGACAGTCCACGCTGTTGCAAGCGTCGTCGCACTGTACAAGCAGATACTGGACGTGCTGCAAACAAGCTCATTTCCTGACTAATGGTCCGTGATGTGGTTGTACGGTTTTGCACGGCCGACCTCACAATATGTCTGTCCTCTCGGACATTAGTCATGGGAGGGTGTTGATATCCTGCACGCTGTTCAGTAAGACCCTCAGCAACCCATCGATTCCATATTCGCATGATAGTGGTTGGATTTCGACCAGTGCAAGTGGCAATATCACGGAACGATAATCCACACTCTCGATAGGAAATGATCCTGCCTCTATTGAATTCCAACACTTGCTGGTAAGCATTTCTTCTTCTTATTCGAGGCATAACAGGATATTCTGATGAAACCCTGACCTTGCAAAGCGATTTCCGAATGAGAAATCACTGCACAACTTTTCTTTTATGCAGTGCTTCAGATGTCATTTGTCCCTCCTGCATTGTCTAAATGCACTGAAATACTAATCATTTGCATATCCCAACCTCTTCTTCCTTTCATATGATTTTGACGTTCATACGATCACTCCTTCCTGGTGTTGCAATTTTAATGGCCAGCAGTGTAGATGAATGCTTAAACCAGATATGAAAAGACTAATTTATCCATATCTGGTCTCAACTTCCAGGGAAGAAGGCCCTAATTAACTATATACGAAATTCTGGTTTGGATCCGAAGTTATGTTATTTCAACTCAGAAATCTTCTCCAGAACAAAGTTAGATAGATGACTGGTATGACTTTATTGTTAACAGGAAAAGTGTGATGTACAGGGGCAAGGTACTACTAAAATTGAGAGCACTGTGATGAAAAATTGCAGCCTGGCATTGTGATGATGTCACAATAAATAATTGCTTGCTGATTCTAACTTATTTTATTTACTCAGTGCCAATAATGGTAGTCCAATTAGTTTAGTTTATCACCTTGTAAATAATAACAAAATTTAAATAAGTCAAAAATCTAATTAATTTACTTCAATTTAATTTAATTTGAATTTATTTATTTAAGTTTCTTTAATGTTTAACTATCTGCTATTTCTTAACAAAATTATCAGTTTGCATCATATAAAATAACATTTCTTATTTTTGTCAGATGACGAAAGAGAAAAAAGCATTAGAAGAGCGTCAGACTGAGATTTCTCAAGCTTTGGCCGAGGAAGAAGAAAAATCAAAACATTTAAATAAACTTAAAATCAAACATGAAGCAACGATAACGGATTTAACGGAAAGACTGAGAAAGGAACAACAGGTAATATTATTAATTAATGGGAGAAAATTTACGTAACAAATTCTAGAAAATAAATTTTAAAAATATTTTAAAAATTTAGCTTCGTCAAGAATTGGAACGGGTAAAAAGACGACTGGAGACCGAATTGAGTGACGTAAAAGAACAGCTGAATGAGAAACGTGCTCACGTCGACGAATTACAACAGCTTTTAGGAAGAAAGGAAGAAGAATTGAGTCAAACATTGGCTAAGTAATAATATATTCTATATTAAAACATTTGTATATTATTATTATATACAATTAATTATATACAATATAGATTCTGGCAATTCTTAATCAATATTTTTATATTTAAATTTTAAAACTAATATAAATATTGCAAAAATGTTTTGTTTTTAAGTCAAATGGAAAATTTGTTGTTTTCAAGTCAAATGGAAAATTTTTTGCTGTTTTTTGGCAAATGTTAGAGATCGGAAGCATAATGCATTAAATATTGCAACGGCTTTAATTAAACTCTCATTAATGTGTAATATAATAGTATTGTTAAGCATTTATTTTTAAATTTTTTTTTAACTTTGGATCAAGAACAAAAGGTAATAGATAATATTATTTACACTGTATGCATCTTAAGTCTTATGATTTCAGAAAAGTACTACTGTCATGTAAACTGTAAAAATAATTTATGGTGATGATATTTGAAAAACAATAGTGCAAAAAACGGCAGTGTGTTATTTCAGTTCCAAAAAGTGCTCTACATCTCCAAAAGATTCTGCTTACTGTATAGTGGGATATGAACAGTATAATGACTTTTAGACCTTAATAAAACCATAAATTCTTATATCTACTGTTGACAATTAGATGGAGTAAACAAATGTCTTAATTAATGATAAACAAACCAATATTAATGATAAAATATAATATTTCTATTAGTCGATATATATTGGACAGAGGAAAGTTGGTCAATAATGGAATAATACAAAATAAAGCATTAAAGATCATATTATTTGTTAAATTTAAATGAGATTTCAAACCACTTTACTTCTATTAATATATTTCTTGGATTTTCAGTAACAGTTTTCATGCCAAATTTGTTCTTGTTTTTCAATTTTTTCCATACAAAACAATTGGAATTAAATCTTTCTTTCAAATTCGATATTAAACGTTAATCATTTATAGAATAATAAAATTGCTAGTGAAATCTTATTTTTGATTAGTGAATAAAGTAGGAATGAACATGAGAAAAAAGTCTAGATCAGGCTGCCATGTTTTTTTTTTTTTTTTTTTGAGTAGGCATAATTAACTTTATAAAAGGATAATGATGGTAAACCAAATTGAGTATATAAAACCAGTATGAAAAACTTGAAAATTTATGCAGTGAAAATAAAGAAATAATACAATGATTTATGGCATGCCATTTTGGGCATGTTTATTTTAGGTTTGCCAACTATGGTAGAATGGTAGGCTGCATTTTAACTGTATGGCTATCGGGTTACTTTCATTGTGGACTTGCCAGACCCATGATGTGCATGAAATGACTTTTTTAATTCTTGTAAAATGAAGTATTAAAATGAATAATTATCTTATGCACTTTTCTACTTAATTTCATATTCAATAACAAATTTTAATTGGAAACTTATTGTTTCAAGGTTCAAATTAAAATTTAAAAATATTTTGGTTTTTTTCATTACTTTTTCATAAAATGTAACCAATATCATTAATATAAGGATTGTTCACTGAACAAATTGCTATAAGTTTAAACTTTACAATATTTATTATATTCTAATTATAATATTCTAGATTTGATATAATATTCTATATTTTAGGTGCGATGAAGAAGCTGTGGCATTAGCATTGTCACAAAAAACATTGAGAGAAGTCGAAAGTCAGTTGGCGGAAGTACAGGAAGATCTGGAAGCTGAGAAACAGGCTCGACTGAAAGCCGAAAAACAAAAGCGAGACCTTAATGAAGTAAACTTTCATTTGCAGATTTGATACATGTATGGAAATTTTGCAAAAAATTAAAATTTTCAAACTGTAGGAACTAGAAGCACTGAAAAATGAACTGATGGATTCTTTGGATATAACTGCGACCCTGAAAGAATTAAGGACGAAGCGAGAACAGGAATTGGCATTGTCTAAAAAGACGCTAGAAGAAGAGACAGCTGCTCACGAATTACAGATTGCCGATTTGCGCCAGAAGCATAATCAGGCAATCGAATGTCTCAACGAACATTTGGATGCTGCAAAAAAGGTAAGTTTGTCTAATGCATAACGTACACGATTGTATTGTTTTTTAGCTTTAGTGTTATAAATTTATAATAACTGATTTGTTATTTGAGTGAATAGTGATTTTGTTTTGATATTTTTGAAATGCAGTTGATAAACACATCGAGGGATGTTAGTAGAATCTTTTTCAGTAGTTGATAAGTTTCAAGTCTCTGTAATTCTTCCCAAATCTGTTTTACAACATCAAATTATTTTGTGTTTTTGCATTACTTTTAAAACAGTGAATGAATGATAAATTAAGTACATATTAGCTATTTATTTTTCTATTTTTATTGTTACTATAACTTTAAAAAAATTAGTTACAAAATATTACAATTGATTTTGAATATGTAGGCAAAAGCAGCCCTAGAAAAATCAAAATCTAATTTGGAAGCTGAAAATGCGGAACTGACAAATGAAATAAAAGGTGTGTCCGCAGCTCGGCAAGAATCCGACAGGAAGCGCAAACAATTGGAAACACAGGTGCAAGAACTCATGGTAAAACTTGGAGAATCGGATCGAAGTAAGAGCGAGATCCTCGAAAGAGCCCAGAAATTGCAGGTGAAGAGTTTTTCTTTACATTTTTTCTCTTTTGTATACAGTTATAAGTGTTAACGAAAGAATAATTAGTTTGTTTTTATATAATAGGTTGAACTCGAAGCCGTTAATAATCAATTGGAAGAAATGGAAATAAAAGCATCTCAGGCATCAAAAAGTACTTCAGCATTAGAATCTCAATTAGCCGAAGCACAGGTAAACTAAAGTTTTAATGTAAAATTAACTAACTAAATTCTGAAATAATGGTGATCCTTTTAAATTCCATTTCTTAAATAGATTTTTATTAAATGAGCTTGAAACTTTTAAAATATTATTCTGTGCAACCCCAATGTTGTTCTTTATATACAGTAAATTTTATTCTTTGCATTAAAAGTCTGCTTTAACAGATATAAACATTCATATTTTCTTGTATATTTAGAAAAATACACAAAAAGGAAGCAAAAAATTGTTTCACGCTATTAAAGTTGTATATAACTTTAAACTTTGTAGCTCTATAAGAAAACTAAAAAGCTCAAGTTTATTTTTGTAAATTGAAGTGAAGTTATCATAATAAAACTTTTCACTCCACATTATATATATCTATAAATGTTAAAAATTGCCTAAACTTATAAATTTCTTAATATTTAAATGACGAATTTATTTTAATTTAATCACTACGTATTTAAAAATTTGTCTGTCGGGCAATTTCTTAGGAATTACTACAAGACGAAACAAGACAGAAGCTGGCTCTGAGTTCAAAGATTCGTCAGTTAGAAAGCGAATTAGAATCTATCAAAGATCAGCTGGATGAAGAAGAAGAACAAAAGAAAAATTTAGAAAAACAGGCCACCCAATTTAACTTGCAGGTATGTCTTGAATGTTTATTTACGTAGAAGTCGTTAAAAAATACATTTAAAAAATTACCCATTCGACGTACTCAGATTCAAGAGTTGAAAAAACGACTGGAAGAAGAAACCGAATTGGCAGCAGTTTTAGAGGAACACAGAAAGAAACAGACAAAAGACATCGAAACACTTCAGAGACAATTAGAAGAATTACAAATAGTTAACAGCAAATTGGAAAAATCGAGGAAGAAGCTGCAGTCCGAGGTGCGGTGTTTTGTAAATTGGAATTAAATTAAAGAAAATTTTTGTAATATTTGTTTTTCACGAATAGGTAGAAGACGTCACAATAGAGTTGGAGAGCCAAAGATCGAAAGTATCCGAGTTAGAAAAGAGACAACGCAAGTTCGATCAGATGCTGGCCGAAGAAAAAGCCATATCGGAAAGAATAGCTTCGGAAAGAGATAATGCCGAAAGAGAAGCCAGAGAGAAAGAGACTAAGATTCTGTCTCTTACAAGAGATTTAGAAGACAAACGAGATCAGTTCGAAGAATTAGAGAGAGCCAGAAAGCAGCTGCAATCAGAATTAGAAGAGTTGATTAGCAGACGAGGAACGGCCGATAAAAACGTTCGATTTTTTTCATTGAAGATAAACTATTTTAAAAATACAACTTTTTGAGATTTTTTAAAATAATTTTACAGGTTCACGAATTAGAAAAGGCAAAACGAACATTAGAAAGTCAATTAGAGGAACAAAAAACGCAGATAGAAGAATTAGAAGACGAGTTACAGTTGACTGAAGATGCAAAATTAAGATTAGAAGTCAATATGCAAGCACTGAAAACGCAGTTCGAGAGAGACCTGCAGGCCAAAGACGAACAGGGAGAAGAAAAACGACGTGCCTTAATAAAACAAGTAAATGGAAGGGAAAGGGAACTTACTAGTTAAATTTCAAAGGAGAAATGTCAATTAAAATAAAAATATTCCAGGTAAGAGATTTGGAAACAGAAGTGGAAGACGAGCGAAAGCAGAAAATGGCCGCCATAAGCAGTCGCAAAAAGTTAGAAGGGGACTTAAAGGATTTCGAACAGCAATTAGAAATGGCAAACAAGGTCAAAGAGGATTCCGTACGACAGTTTAAAAAAGCACAGGTACATGCGTAACGTAATATTAGTTATTCCGAAGCTCCCTAGAAGCCAGACCCACTGTCTTTCAGAATTCCAAAAAAAATAGATTTGGCCAGTAAATTTTTAAAGTAAAATACCCGTTTTAAAATTGCAATTTAGGCTCAGATGAAAGATTATCAGAGAGACTCGGAAGAAGCTAGAGCCAGTAAAGCCGAACTAGTGTTACAGGCAAAAGAAACGGAGAAGAAACTGAAAACGATGGAAGCCGAACTGGCGCAAGTACAGGAAGACTTAGAAAATTCGGAGAGAGCCAGACGCGCCGCAGAGTCAGAAAGAGAGGAATTACAGGAGGAAATCAGTTCCAATTCTTCCAAAGGGTAAATTTTAAATTTCGTTAAAGCGTAAGGCTCGATTACCAATAAGTTGTTAAAATGCCGTTTTAACAGTTCGCTTCTGCAAGACGAGAAGCGTCGTCTGGAAGCCCGCATCCAGCAACTGGAAGAGGAATTGGAAGAAGAACAAAGCAATCTGGAAATCGTAATGGAGAAGGCCAGGAAGTCCCAAGCACAGGTAAAGATTTTTTAAACGTATTTTAATAGTAAAAACGATGGAAACGGCAATTTATTTTTCTTGGAAACAGACAGAACAACTGGCAACGGAATTGGCCAGCGAGAAAGCCACTTCGCAGAAATTAGAAAACAGCAGACTGATGCTGGAAAGACAGGTGAGCCTCGTTACATTACAGACGAATTAAAATGGAACGAGGCTTTAATTTGCCACGTTTTTAATTTTTAAGGTAAAGGAATTGAGATCGAAAATTCAGGAATTGGAAACGACGCAGCGCGCCAAATCCAAAGCCACCACCACCGCTCTAGAAGGAAAAATAACTCATCTGGAAGAACAGCTGGACGAGGAAGCGAAGTAAGTGTGGTAATCACAATTCGGGGTCGGGTCGAAGTACTTTCTTACGTAAATTTTTTAAATTAAATAATTTTAAAAAAAGGGAAAGGCAAGCGGCCACCAAAGCCGCCCGAAGAGCGGAGAAAAAGATGAAAGAACTTCTCATACAGATAGAAGACGAGCGAAGACACGCGGATCAATTTAAAGAACAGGTAGGGAGGGAATTTAACGGTCATAGAGAATTAAGTACTGTATTTTACAAGCGCCAACGGTCTTTTAACGAATCTTCCAGGTGGAGAAGAGCAACAGTCGCATGAAATCCTTAAAAAGACAAGTGGACGAAGCAGAAGAGGAATGTTCGCGTGAAAAAGCGCAGAGAAGAAAGCTGCAGAGAGATTTAGAAGACGCTTTGGAAAACAAAGAAGCTCTGGAAAGGGAAATAGCCAATCTTAAGAATCGAATGAGGTAGGGTTCGGTCGATTTTTAATGCCAATTCAAATTGGAAAATGGGTTTTTAAAAATGGAATAATTTGACAGAAGAGGCGGATCCAGCGGGTCGACGGGTAGCGGCTACCGTTCCAGCAAACGCAATCTGGTGTCTTCGAATTCGGAAGACGGTTCCCTAAACTTGCAGGACGATTCTCTGGACGACAGTCAGGCTTGAATTGATTACTAACACAGCACTGCCTTCCGCATCGGACGTTGTTCCGGTTGCCCAGCAACAAGCGTGCGCCCGTTCGTCGGGAAGGTCGTGCCTTACAAGAGAGAATGGGGATTACGTACCGGTGACCGAGCGACCCCTAACATTCCTACGTAGTGGCGCGTGTACAGAATTAACAACGGAGATACGACGGAGGCGCCGGGCACCGGGAAAGGCAGGAAATTCGATACCTTCCGTTGGCTGTTTATGCATTCCTTTTTTACTCGATTAGCATGAATAACGGCACAAACATTCAGGGAATTATTTTAGCCATTTTCGTTCCTCTCGTCTTACTTAATCCGGGCCACGACGGAACGGAAACCACGGAAATAGCGTTTATATATGTAGTCCTTCTGATTGTGTAAAGAATGCAAAAAACGAAAATAATCACGAATGTACGCATTAAAAACTTGTGTGATTTATAAAAACAGTCTCCAACCGCCTGGATTCTTTCGCCTCGGCCCAATTGTCTCAATCGTCCGATGTCGCGTACGCAAATTTTCCCTTTTAAAAAGTTGAATATATCTATCGACGTGTTCCGATAAAGGATGGATCCTCGCGTGGTACGATTTTCAAGATGGCGGACGATACTGACGCCGAGTTTCGTTTTGTACGGCCGCTTTGTTTAGTCAGAAGATTTTGGATTAGAGGTATTTTTATAGATCGAGAAAGAACCGGTGTACAAAATACGCGATTATTTGTGTTAAATCTATTATCCCTTCCTCTTTATTCAAATGCCAATTATCTCGGCTAATCGCATCGAACTTTCCGCCATTAAAACAAGCGATTCTGTGTCGAACCACCTCCGCAAAAGATAGAATTCGACCGACTTCTGCGGCGAAAAAAAGGTGACGTCGTGATACCGCGTCACACCCGTGCATCCATCCTAAAACTCTGCGGTGAGGTAACTGCCGCCACGCGTTTTGGCTATTTTATGCCACGAATAAGTGTAAAAAAGGCAAAGTAGTCAAATTTTAAAAGTACAATAGAAATTGAATTAAAAAACTTTAGAGAAAAATTACCAGAAAGACGCTTTTAAATATTAAATACAGTATATAGATCTCATCAAGCGGGCATTTGTTCGTGCCACTAATAACAGATTGTGGGAAAGGAGATCCGGGTTCGAATACCGGATTTAAGATCGATCGAACGAGCGTTAGAATTATATGCCAATCAAATCAGATATAATTGACGGATCGTTGGGATCTTACGTAATTATACCGAGTTCGAAACGTTTAGAATTCGAATTGTAGAAAATGCTGTAAAGTTGCTTCTGGAAGTGAAATTTTCAAAACACTTCGTCGTTATCAAATGGTGGTAATTCTATTGTTTTATATCAATGTATGCGAGAGTAACACCAAAAGTAACGGGCGAAAATTTTTCTATTCGTTATTACGGTGTGGTAGGTGACGCCATTTTGTTTATTTGTACGCTTTACCGCATCGAGACTTCGTTTTGTCCACGCACCGGCATTTGGTTTCTGGTTTAGGCCATGTCGGTCCCTTAGTTTCGAAGTCACGGTATAGATTTCGTGCTATGTACTGTACTTTCTTTCCGGTTCCATCCACTGATAATTTCAAATCTTTTCGTTTAGAGGTTACTCTGACATATAATTAAAGGCTTTAATTTTAGTTTTGAAATTCAAGATTAGAGAAGAAATTTGGAGATATTGCACTTGTTAAAATTGTATTTACTTTTCTATATTCGCGTGCATTTTTTCCATTATACAAACTGCAAATAGGAGCATGGGAGTAAAGATTTTCATTATAACTTTTCTCAAACTTTATAGGCCTATATAAAGTAAACTTTCGAGTGTTTGCAAGTGATGATCCTAAATGAGAAAAGTTACGTGTATAAACTCATTTTTAAACTATTTCAGAGTATATTTTCAATCCACATACAACGTATTATAAGAGATTTATTGTTTAAACTACAGATATATATTTTTGGCTGTGTCGGAAAGGAAAATAATTTAGAGAATGGGTGAATGCTATGGATGCGAGTTGCTAAGTTATTTAGCAGAATTTAGAAAGAAAATTAATTTGGACACATCTGGAATTATAGGTTTTGTTGGCTTTACAATTTAAAGTTTATCGTTTTCGTCAATATTTGTTTATTTGATACGGTTACGGATGAGAACACGAAATATCATTACGCAGCGCAGTAAGAGAGTTGGATTTTTTTCTTGTAAGCGGTCACGAAAAAATTTAATTAAACTTTCAAACAAATATTTAATGTAGGATAAATTATGTTGATAGGAAGTACTTACGTAAAAAACTATTTATCAATTGTATTGAATCGGTTCTTTATTTCTATTTGTATAATAAACCAATTATAAAAGTAAATATACGGACCCGTAAAATTTTACTCCCCTTGCGGTTATATATAACAAGAAACGTATGGTCATCGGTCGAAAAATGACTCCCCCCCGAAGATTTTTACATTTTTGGACTCGGGATCTTTTTTTTTTTTTTTTAAGCTCTCCGCCCTGTGGGCACTAAAAGGGCCTCTTTTTGCAAGCCCATTATGGGTTCAGCCAGGCCTACAATGGGGCTGCCGGGTGGTGAGGGACGGGGCCCGACATATCCGAACGGACCACCCCCGAAAAGTTCCTGGGGATTTTTCGACCCGTGGACTCGGGATCTGGCAACGTCGAGAAATTGAAAAAAAAAAAAAATTAGTAGGAGAATTTTCTGTATGTATGGATGTTTTCGTGTGTGTGGGTAAAGAGAACGATTTTGTTCACCCTGTTTGAAGCTTAATTAAATTAATAACTCCGTGCTTTTTGTCGAAAATTTCTGAAATCTCGGAGAGGTTTGGATATCGGGGAATTGGTGCTATTAAATTTTAGTAGTTAAAAAGTCGAAAAGGTGGAGAAATGGAGGGTCGTGTGTTGTATCTCGAGTAGGGTCGGACTTAATGAAGATTTTACTTGAAGATTTTACTTGTTTGCAATTACAAAACTCATTTTTACCCTCAAAATTAAGCTTTTTGCTATTTTATAATAACAATAAACGTATTTTCACTAGAATATTGTAACAGACGGCGCCGCCACAATTTTAAGCTTTTTTTGCCGGTTAAAGTTACACAACGTAATGCTTTAAAACACTGGTTTAATTTTTAGCAACTATCTTAAAAGTATAATCAATAAGTAGATCAGGTTCTTTTCCAAAACTGTTGTTTTTAAGAAGGGCAGTTGGCCTACCAGTGGCCAAACTGTTTCGTTCCCCGAATAATGGGAGTTCGGTGTTGGGTTCGCGCCTCGTTCGGACGGGCTGGCCACGCGAAGTTTTCCGGATTTACTCCACATCTGTAACGCCTGAATAGGGGGCCAGTTACCCTTAAAAAATTTCCCCGAAGTCATCCTCTAGGCAGATCGCCCAAGTGTTGCGTTGCCGTAATTTAATAAACAAACGGACAGTTTGCTAGCCCCCGTTTTTTGCGTAAATTTCACCCTGCGGGCACTAAGATGGGCCCGTTTAGCAAACCTATCGTGGCCGAAACCACGATGGACCCCGATTAGAAAGAAGAATCCTCAAGCTCTCCTCGAATGGATATTTTCCTATGTTTTTGGATGATAAAATTGTTACATTTTGATGCTGTTATTGTTCTATTAACTTCATTAAATACATCAAATGGTTATTTCGTTATTTTAATACGTTATGAAATATACATTTTTGAAAATTGAGCCTAAAACATAATTTTTTTTTTTCTTTTTACAATCAGTTTATTTGTGCTTTGCTTAAAGATGTTGTAACAACAATATATCCTCGCCTCGAGTTTGTTCCGTAAGTGGCAGTATATCGAGTAACTCGTCCCGAGTTAACACATCTATAAATAAGTAGAACTTATGCAATATCATTCGCATTGCAAAATTCATTACAGGCAATAGAAAATACTGGTGTTTAACTTAAATCCGTAATCTGCCAACTAGTTACATCTGCCATACGAACAGTTCTTTCTCTTACAGTCTTAGCGGACAATGACGTGCCTTTTATTTTAGCAATTATTTCTGTTTTATTTGTAAAATCACAAAAAAGATATTCGGACATTTTAATAAAACAATCTTATGCAAATTCACCATCTGCAAATGACTTTTCACGTTTTGCTATTTCTAGTGCGACAACAAAACTAGCAGTTGTATTGTTACTCAATTTTATCCAATTTGAAAATGTACCATAAGTTCATTTTAGTCCGTTCACTTCTAAATTCTCGATTTTCTTCTACTTTTTTCTTTTCTGGCCGTATTAAATATTACCCTCAATTAACTTTATTCGATATTTTTCTTTTGCACACTATAATAATTTATAAACTAAACACGAGTAAATATAAACAGTATAAAACTGCTGTACGCCAAGAGGACACGATTGTTCGTGTCGCCATTTGTAAATTATATCGGGCGGGAGAAACTGCATTGGAGTGTTCGTGACGATTCGTATTTCCGATTTTAAATTTGCCTTACAGTTGAGAGATGTCTCCACGGGTTGTATTTTTAGACGAAACCGCGAGGACCAAGAACGAAATTGTCCAAAGATGCTCACGAAATATTACAATATAACACCACACCTTAAGGGTCATCTGCTAAAGTACTAAATTCTACCTTTTCTAGATTGGTTTAACATGTTTTTCTCAAGGCAATATTCAATTAAGTTTCGTTTTTACTGTGATAGTTAAGTGATAAATGAAATTAAAAAGTCTTTAAAAAAATATTAGTGAAGTATACGAGTTATCTTTTTCTTTAACTTATATTTAAAATTTATTTTCTTGTGCATTTTTTATTCACTAACTAAAGAAGAACCGCAATTATGCATTAAAAGAGCCGCAGATTGCCGACCCCTGTGTAGGTATTCGCCTACGGATTCTGACATGCGGCAAAGAGATTCGTGAATCTGATGTTCAAGAAATCTGAAATGCCACAGAATAAATAATAAGAATAGATAATTGTATCGCATTAAACGTTAACCAACTCTATTCGGTTATATGGCAGTTTTTTATTGTTCAATACCAATAAATGATTGTCATGTAATCCAAATGAGTTGGCTATTGCTTAATTAATGTAATAAATCTGTCGTGCCAATATAACTCCATATACCTACAAGATTGGCTAATATACAGTAGCACAATAGGCTGGTTTGAAACGTGGAAGATCTGTTAAAAAGAAGCCATTTATTGTACTAGGGATGCGTTGTAACAAAAACTTCACTTAATCAATCTTAGTAGCACCAAAAATCATTTATAATGATTTACACGATAAGAATAAAGAGGTAAACTTGCATTAAAAAAATGGAAAAAATGTATTTAAACTTAATAGGTGTTGATTTTTGTTTGTGCAAAAGTTTTCTGTTTTGCCGGTGGATCTTTGAAACTCTATTCAAAAATCGAGTATTTTGATAAATGGCCTAATTGATAAGAAATACGAGATAAAAAT